TATTACTAGTAGTAACTAATACTAGGTGATCCTTAATACTATACTAGTCTAATATAATTAGGCCTTTATAGCCCTATTTATCGTAAAGTATAATATTAAGTAGCTAAGGATTCTTAGTGACCTAGACGCTATTAAGCCTATTATAGGAGCTTATTATAGTCTAGGGATCACTCTTACTAATAGCTTATTAGTAGCTTAGGAGGTAGATCTCCTATAATATATAAGAGTTAATAATATTATTAATAGTAATACGCTCTACCTTATTATTATTATAGGTAAAATGCTTAATTAAAGCGCTAATGCTATAACCCTATAGGCTATTAATCAAGCTTACTAAAAGATCGCTAATTAGGATGGGATCCTTAGATAAGTATTTATATACTTAGCCGCTTAGTAGTATCTATTAAATATTAACGCCTAGCTTAAGAAGAAGGTTAATACTAAAAGTATAGTATTCTAGCCTAAGGGTAGCGCCTATCTAGAAAGCGAGGTCTACGTCCTAGGAGTATATAATACTTAAGCTATTAGGGAAGTAGGTTACTAGCTTTATTATGCCCTAGGTGACCTTAGCCTTATTTACCTTATGATTTACTATTAAAAGGAAGGCGTTAAAGTCCTGCCTAGCTAGCTAATCCTTATTAATCTAGGGGATAGAGTAGTATACGCTATAAGTTCTATTAGTTATAATAAGGGCATATACCTTAAGATGATTAAGGCTATACATCCTCTATATCTAATGGCCTATAAGAAAGGCGGCCTTATCCTTAATTATTATCTTTTAGATGATGGCCTGAGCCTCTATATGAACCCTTTGATCCTCTATGCTGACTTGTCCTTAGAGGTGTGTCTTATTGTAGCAGGTTTGAATAAGTCCGGCATATGCACTCCAAGCGATGTAAATTAGGGATCGCAGCTTTGTCGACAGAAAAGCAGATGGTGCAATATGTAGGTACTCAATCCTCGCAGCGGAGTCACCTTTGTCGCTGACTAAATTCTAGTCGTGTTCAAAAAGCGAGCACCCACTCAGAGTCTAACTACGAGCAGGTCTAAAATTACCGCCGTACTGTCACTATCCGCTCGCATGGTGCTGAAGAGCATCGTATCCTGGCGCAGTTGCAGTGTCGGAGCCTCCGACAAGGTCGAGCCGAGAGGAAGATATCGGTCGGCGGCCGAGGCGACGGTCTTACGCTCCACTTTGATGGTGGCTACCGAAGTGCACACAGGATCCAAGAAGAAGAATAAGAGGTTCTTGGAGTTTGCCGTCGGGATTGCGCATCGGCCGCTCCTGAAATATGAAGTTGGACGCAAGTGATATCTATACATATCTTACCGGTGCTCTACTAGGTGTTTCAATAACAAGAAAATCACCTTTTTATTATTCAAACCATGTGTTCATTAAGACTTGTATGCTGACTTATACCCATAGGTCGGACAGACCGACACCTCTCACTTAGTCCCTGACAACAAACAACATACTCAGGTTTCCAGTTTGTGGAGCCTCACGTGAACAGGCATATCATCCTTGGGATGTACCTAACAGTATAATGTTAGCAGAGAATGTAAGCTACCCCAATGCAGTGTCAGAGTAGTCCAATGTATCATGTACCAACATGGGTGATATTCTCTCGTCGGGTGGAGCGACGGTAGGTGCGGAACAAGTCTAAACCGAGAGCGAAATAATAAAAACAAAGATCGCTGCGGGCGTGACCAAGAGCCAATTCGTACGCGTCGGTTGGGAAATTACGTGGATCCACTACCTGCTTACGCGTTATCTCACCTACCCTATACCCGTAAGGGTGGATGTAACCACGTTGCGACAACCTCGTTAATTTAACGAAATAAATCTCTATTTATAACAAGTCTGGATATGTTAATTCCAATAAGCTAGTTCTGCACCTAAAATCGCATTAATCAATGGCGGAAAATCCGGGATTGAATTATTATTGTTAATATTGTTGATGACGAGAAGATCTTGCGTGTTCCCTGACCGCTTTCCTGAGTATCTTGTTATGTTGGAAACTACCCTATTTTGTTATGAGAACCCCGGTGATGATTGTCCGTTCAGTACTGCAACATAATGAAAACAGGTAACTGGCTGGCTAGCTAGATGGAACCAAATACTAGACATTCTGAGCTAATGTGATATTCCGAAAGATCCGATCTTAGCAGCCATGCAACTGAATCCTTGGCCATTTCAGCTCTAGACCCTGCCGGTACCCAGGGTACCAAGACACGGCAAGAAGGTTAAGTTGTCTGTGAAATCCTCTTGGGGGGGCAATCCTCATGAGATTCATTTCGCCAGTGCTCTTATGCTGCATCCTATAGAAGCTAAGGAAGCAGGAAAGTAAAGAAAAGCGTGTAAAAAATAGCACATGCTCTTTGGAATTAAATTGGCTTGTGTGGCAGTCTAACAGCCAGCCCCGGATTTTAGAGACATGCAGCATTCCCCGGAATGCAAGATTTCTAGATCGTAGGATTTCTAAATCCGGGGTCAACAGGGGCCTGTTCCCGCCAATCGCACGACGACTCGTCGACGAACACCGGACAAAGTTGCGCGGCTGGTCTACGTCCAAGCCTGCCCCGGAGTTTCCCCAGACCAAGAATTCCGGGGGCTGCCCCGGACATTCAAATCCGGCTCTTAAGCGCGGTCACCCAACTAGCTTCACCCGACCCTCGGCCACGATAAATATCTTGAGATGTGCTGCATCGAACACCTTCCCAACCACTCATCGGCAGACCGTCACCATGTCTAGCAATAACGCACTCGAAACCAGCCTCGACGGCAAGGCAAACAAAGCCATGCACGTGGAGGACCCGAAGCAGTTTGACACCACCGACGACGCCATCATCGAGGATGTCTCGGCCCAGGCGCACAAGACGGCTTTTCGCAAGGTCGACTACCGGCTGATGCCCATGCTAATGGCGCTCTACCTCATCGCCAACCTGGATCGGTAGGCGTGCAGTCCACGACTTGCCGGGCTTGGAAGCTGACAGACACCCAGTGCCAATCTCGGAAACGCCAAGATCGAGGGCCTCGAAAAGGACCTGAATATGAAAGGCAACGACTACAACGTCACCAACATGATCTTCTTCGTGCCATACATCCTCTTTGAAGTTCCTGCCAACTCTCTGTTGATCAAGTTCCAACGACCCTCGACGTGGATCGGCATGATTGTCACGGCATGGGGCATCGTCATGACCTGCAGTGGCTTCTGTCAGAACTATGCAGGGCTACTCGTCTGCCGGATCCTGCTTGGTGTTTTCGAGTATGTCTAGGATGCCTTGGAAGCCCAGCTTGTGCACATAACTAACCTTGCCTCCTAGAGCCGGCTTCTACCCAGGCGCAGTATACCTTCTTGGCCAGTGGTACCCACCATACATGACCCAGGTCCGCATGTCCATGCTGTACTGCGCGGCCGCCATTTCAGGAGCCTTTTCGGGTTTGTTGGCAGCGGGAATTGCCAAGATGTCGGGCTTGGGTGGTTACAATGGGTGGCGCTGGATCTTCATTCTCGAGGGAGTCCTGACCGTTGTTCTTGGCGTTGCCGCGTTCTGGCTGCTGCCCGACTCACCCTCCAGGTCTTCCAAGTGGCTGTCCGGGGATGAGATCGACTATATGAATGCCCTCCACCGCAAGTACCGCGAGGCTCACAGACAGCCGCAGGAGAACCCAGACCAGGAAGTCGCCGTCTCACGCGCGCACAAGTGGAAGATCCTGCTCTCCGTCGTCACCGACTGGCAGCTCTACCTCCAGGCTCTCATCTTCATGTCCAGCTCGGTCCCGACCTATGCGCTCAAGTTCACGCTCCCCACCATCATGCTCAACATGGGGTTCAGCAGCACCAATGCCCAGCTGCTCTCCGCGCCCCCGTACCTCGCCGGCGCCATCTCGGCCCTGGTCGTGTCTAGGTTTGCCGACCGCTTCTCACGCCGGGTGCTCTTCATCATCGCGCCCCAGCTGGTGCTGATGGTGGCGTACTGCGTCTTGTTCTCCTTCAGCGCCGAGATCAAGACCCATGTTGCCCTGTGCTACACCTTTGTCATGATTGCCACGTCGTCAGTGTACAACATTATTCCCGGCGGCAACACCTGGACCATCAACAACCTCGCCGGGCAGAGCAAGCGAGCCATGGGGGTCGCATTTATGATTGCACTTGGAAACTGCGGCGGGATTGTCGGCAGTCTGATTTTCAAGTCGGAAGAGAGCCCTCGATACCAGACGGGCTGGGGCACAAGTCTTGGGTTCATCTGCCTCGGCATCGTTTCGGCTTGCACCCTGGAGCTTGGCTACACCCTCATCAACAAGAAACGAGCCAAGCTATCCAGAGCCGAGATTGATGCCAAGTATTCCGCCGCCGAGCTCGATGCAATAGGAGACAAGAGCCCCCTGTTTGTCTACAAGCTTTGATCGCGGTGCAAGCTGTGCCATCTTGCTTGTCGGTTGTGGTGTAGAGTGTAGTCAAAGTATAATCTAGAGTGGCAATCTCCTCAGTCTACAAGTTCTATAATACAATCTTAACAGCACTGTATTACTACCTCTCGAGATGTAACCGTGATGCATAATAGGTTTATTAACTATAACACATTATTATAGTTAATAATTAGTTTGATCGCCAGAAAGTTTCCGTAGCCGGATCCCGCATTAAGTATGAATAGACGAACGGGTTAGTTAGGCGAATTCGCAACCAGCTTTTTACTACTATGTTGTTAATTAGATTACAGGCATTAGAATAAGAATAATATATCTACGAGATTATACACTTACCAGCGTATACACATATGAAAGGATAATAATATATATATATTTAATTATATATATAAATAAAACTTAGACACTGATATATTAAAGGAAGTGAAATAAATAGAGTGCGTTTAAAACATATGGTAAATTATATTACAGTTTATCACAAGGCAAATAGGAGTGTGAAATCAAGTCCCGAGAAGTGGGCCTGCTTTAACTAGATATCTATAAGAATCAAGAACTAGTCTATGTAGGTATACTAAGAATGAATCTCTGGCAAGACAAACAGATTCCAGTACTCATCGAGGTCCACCGTCTGGGTCGCCCCAACAGAACCTGACTCTTGTTCCCTCCGGGTGAAGCCGTCCCCGAGATATGCGAAGCGGTTGACCTTGGCATTGCCCCCCCTCTCCAGTCTGAAATCCTCCCAGCGCGGGTTCTTCAGGGCCTCCATGAAGTGGAAGGTCGTCCCGCCGTAGATGGCGACGACGGGTCCGTCGACTGTACCTCTCTTGTACCAACTGCGGCACCCCCGGGTCCAGACGGTCCTCTCGAGGTACTTTTGGATGTGCTGGTTATACTCTGCATTGACCTTGCTGTCGACTTCGAAGGACTTGATGCCCTCTGTTTGCATCTTCTCCAACCACTTGTAGATATAGATGGCCGTGTTCTGGATGCCCATGACCAGAGAACCATTGCTGATGGGGCTGTTTGGGCCCACGAAGCAGAAGTAGTTGGGCATGTCGGGCACGGCAATGCCAAAATAGGCCTCGGGCCTGCCCTCCCATTTCTCTGCCAGGTCGACCCCGTTCCGACCAATGATGGGGAACGCCGGCTTGAAGGTTGTGTCAAACCCAGTTGCGCATACAACGACGTCGTACTCGCGCTCCTCCCCAGACTTGGTCAATATGCCCTTGTCGGTGAAGCACTCGACGTCGTCCCATCGTAATTCGATATTGTCCTGGCCGAGCGCTTCCAGGAAACCCGGTCCAGGTGTCTGCCGTCTGCAGCCGACGGGAAAGTCTGGGAGGAGCATTTGGGCAGCCCTGCGGCCCTTTTCGCCGTCGCCAAGGCGCTCGATCATGCTCTTGCGGAACAGCTCCTGCGCCTTGGCCTGGATGTCGCTGTCGGCCATGGCGCGCTTGAAGTTGTTGATGCGCCTGTCCATGAGAGCCGCGCGGTAGCTGCGCAGGACCTGAGGGTCCTTGAAGAGCTCCAAGGTCCTTTCGCTAAAGTTGTAGTCGGGGTCCATCTCGGGGTCCTGGTCGGTGGGCTCGTTTATGCCGGGGGCGGGCGAGATCCAGGTCTTGGAGCGGACAAAGAGGTCCATCGAGCCGCAGACCTTGGCGAGCTTAGGGACGATTTGGATGCCGGACGAGCCAATCCCGATGACGGCCGTCTTCTTGCCGGCGAAGTCGTAGCTCTCGTCCCAGCGCGCGGAGTGCACCAGCTTGCCTTGGTATTTGTCGATGCCTTTGATGCTTGGCCACTTCCAATTACTGTGTCGAGTTAGAACCGACTAGATCCACTGCACCTTGAAGACACTTACTTGAGAACACCGCTTGCGTTTATGAAGACATCTGCCTCGTCGGTGATGATAGAACCGCTGGCGTCCTTGACCTTCAAGTCCCATTTACCGCTGCCCTCGTTCCACGTGGCGGACTGGACCGAGTGCTGCAGCTTGATGTACTTTTTGCAGTCGTACTTGTCCGCGACTTCGTGCATATATTGGTGGATCTGCTGCGATGTGGCATAATAATTCGGCCAGTCCGGCTTGGGTGCAAAGCTGTAGGCGTAGTTGTGTGCAGGAATGTCGCACTTGCAGCCGGGGTATCTGAGCCTTGTTAGCCAGCGTCTCAATGCCGCGTCTGGTGTGAAGTCTCACCTATTCTCGAGCCAGGTGCCGCCCAAGTCCAGATTCCTCTCGTATACCACGAGCTCGGCGTTCTTGCCTTGCATCTTCTGGCTGAACATGATGCTCATCATCAGCCCGCTATACCCGGCACCTAGACAGACGACGCGGATGGGCCGCCGGGTGCCAATGGGCTGCTCGGTAATCTCGTATTTCGAGTCGAGAAACGACGAGACATTTTCGATGAGCTCTTTCGATTTCTCAGTAATCAGGGCGCCGTTTAGTGATTTCGGAGTGGCGTTTATTGGTGCTTCGGGCTCCAATGCCAAGTCAACTACTCCCGGTGCCATGGTAAATGCGAATGAAAGAAAGTTTGGCTGGTGTCTTGATCTGGACTAAGCTGCAAATTGAAGAAGAAGTGGAACTTGACTGCCTGTTTGACTATGGAAAAGTCGAAACAATCTCGCCTCTGTTATACATGATCCATTGGTGCAGGTAAATTGGTCAACTCTTGAGACCGGAATCTGTTGTCCATTTGGTGGAGCACCAAGATGCGGCCATCAAGTTCCGAGCGTCTGCCCAGTTCGGACAAGTTGGATGACGCTCTTGCTGTGGGGAGGAAACCAGCGTGGACATCGAGGTCCGGATATCAATGTCCGGTCGTGACTTACGTAGGCATGGATGGATGGAGGAGGAGTGGAGTGTACTGGGGCTCGCCAGTGGTCAATGCTCGGTTCTGGGGTTAGACACACATGCCTGGTTCTGGGCATGAGATGATCAATGTGTGATTGAAGAGATGCCATCGATCACTTTCGCCTCCATTAAGGAGTCAGAGCTAGAGTGTTCAATACCCCGAGGCTGATTCAGAACTCGTCCACAACGCACAGGAACAAACAACATTCGCTGCTGGAGACTCTGGTTTCGTAGGGAGGGATCATGAGTCGGCGACCCCGCCCCCGCAAAAAGCCACTAAAGCCACTGGACTGTAATCGGCTTGGGGGCTAACCGGAGCAGCGCCCACACTCAGACTGACTCGTGTCTGCTCACCACGTAGTCTATAGTCCAACCAAGACTTGATCGTCTCCGGAATTTCTACAGCTCGGCTCATCTCGGTTCCAACCTGGCAACTATCCGACACAGATTTGCGGCCAGTGTCCGCGAGCACAGCCATGCCGAGAGCCGCCAAGGCATCCAACAAGAGTCCGAAAGACTGTCGCTCCGCGCAGAGGGGGAGTTCGACCTGCAAGACATGCACGCCGTGCCGGGCCAAGAAGATCAAGTGTGACGGGCAGCGGCCAAAATGCGGCGACTGCGAGGCCACCGCACTTGACTGCGTCTATCCCAGGGATGCTCGCAAGGAGCTGCGGCCTTCCAGGGCCCGGGTGCAGGTTCTGGAGGACACCATGGCCATGATGCTGGAGCACATGTCCTCCATGGGAGCAGTCTTGCCCGACTTGCCCACCTTGAAGGGGGTTGGGGGCACGTCCGGAGCTGATTCACCAAGTCATAGCTCACCCGTCAATGCATCGGTGGAAGGACAAGCGTCACATGCTCAGGATGGATCGTTCACCGCCCCTCAAGCGGAAGATGCGAGCCCTCTGCAGCAGGAGGCCGCACCGCAGATGGGGATGGAGATGGAGATGGATGCTCTGTATAATCCAGGAGATGGGCCCATGCTGGAGCCCCCGGATGGCGCCAACTTCACCGGACATGAAGATGAGCCCACCGGCTCAAAGGAAGGCCAGGCCACTGCTGGCGACGGTCGAGGCATGGAGCAGAGCCTGTCCCCGTGCGAGGCTCGCGTTGCCGGGGTGTTTCACGAGCAAGGGTTTCCCTCATCCGTGCATGGGCTGGCGGGCATGATGAACCCGACACTCAGAAAGTCCCACAAGGACAACATGTCGAAGCTGTCGAGACGCGGGCGAGGCGCAATCGAGGAGGCCAAGGCAAGGCTTGTGAGCAACGCTGTTCTCCAGAGGCAGCGGGAGATGCAAATATTTCGCCACCCACAGAACACGATGGACCTCGATGGCTGCGACCCTGAGCTGGCAAAGCATCTCATCGACCTGCACTTCAACCGCCAGCACTATGCCTACCTGCTCACCTACCGGCCGGCGATCATGGACAGCCTGTCCAGAGGGGGTGATCGTTGGGCCAACAAGCTACTGCTCAACGCCATCTATTACTCGAGCACGCTGTACAGCGATCGGCCCTGCCTGCAGTCGGATCCTTCAGACAAGCAGAGCGTTGGGAGCCGGTTTTACCGACGTTTCAAGCAGCTCCTCGTCGACGAGATTGATAAGCCGAGCATCCCGTCCGCCGTAGCGCTGCTGTTGACAAGCGCCACCTTGATATCTCAAGGCCACTCCAGCGCTGGCTGGAACCTGTCGGGCATGGCATATCGAATGGTGCTGGACCTTGGCTGCCACATGATGCTCGGGCCAGATTACCAAGACGCGGATGATTCAAAGCGTGGAGCAAAGCTGGAGCAGGATCTGGAACGGGAGATCCGAAAGAGGCTATACTGGGGAGCCTACCTCACCGACGCAACACAGGCGCTGTATCTTGGTCGGCCCTGCATGCTGGCCTCGGTGGCTGCGCGTGTACCTCTCCAGCTCCTCGACACCTTTGAAGAGCTGGAGGAATGGTCTCCCTACGTCGACCCCGTCTCTCCATCGCTGACGCAGCCGCGATATGATTCTCAGCCGGCGTATAGCATCTCGACCTTTTTGTGGCTTGCGAGGCTGCTGCATATATCCACAAAGATTACCGAACTCTACGATATTCGCATACTGCAGCTCAGCAACGATTTGATTATTGAGAAGAGGAGGAGCATAGAGGGAGACTTGAAGATGTGGGACGAGTCACTGCCGGCTCATCTGAGATCCCCCCTCGAGCGATCGCCGGTGCCGCCGCCTCACCAAATCACACCCCAGTAAGACGCATCCTACTAACTGCACATCTCTCAGGCATGCTAACAATCCACAGCACGACATATCACGCATTGACCATTCTCATCCAGAGAGCTTTCCTCGAAGAAGGCCACTTGCGACGATGCTCTGACTACGCCCAGAAGAAGCAAGCAGAGCAAACTTGCTTGGCGAGTGCCCTATCCATCGAGGCCCTGGTCCGCCTCTATCGAGACAGCTTTAGCCTGCGCCGAGCCCCGTTTCTATTATCATACGCAGTGTATTCGGCGGCAACCGTGTTCCTCCACCACGAAGGAATCCAGCGGGGGCGGTTCACTGAGCAAATATCCTTCTTCTGGACGTGTCTAAACGAATTGATGAGGGGATGTAACTTTGGCCTGAAGAAGCCCCTGGCCATCCTGCAAGAGATTGTGAATGAGCTCAGGCTGCGCACCGAGGAGGGCGACTCGTCGGATCTGATGAAGAACCTCCAACCCAGCCTGGACGACAGCCTGCTCACCTACTTCAACGAGCAGCACGGCCCCGTGGAGCCGTCGCCCCAGACTTCGGGGGGGTCCAGTATCTACAACTTTGGGCTTGATAGCTTCTTTGGGCCGGACGGTAGCACCTGGGACTCTGGCTATGGGACTGTATCAGCCGACACAGTCGGCTTTTTCGATGAGCAGGAGGATTTCACTTCTCAGGATACACTTTATGGGTTGTTTGCTCCTTAATTCACTTTTAAATCCCGAGATTTCAGATTGGTTACTGTAGACTACTAGAATAACACTGCCAAACCGACCGCATCCTCTATTCCTTGATTTTCCAGACCCTCCTGATATTAGGCTTAGCCGCATTGCTCCTGATCCTCAGCGTCCACTCCGTCACGCCGGCCTGCCACTCCGGCCCCCCAAGCCCGTTCTCAGCATCGTAGAAATTGACACCGTAGAAGCTGGCAGTCTCAACCGAGCCGTACGACTGCACCCGGCGGTACCTCCTCGCCGAGTTCCACCCGGGGACGGCGCCGAGCTTCAGTCCGTGCTCCTGGTCGTACCAGTCGTGGTAGTCCTGCTCCTTGTCCTCCCGAGGTGTCGAGCCATTGACCACGACGACTGAATTTGCAGCCGGGGGGGAATAGAGGCTGTTGGGAACCGATGCACCGGTCAGGTCGCTGCTCTCCCGGCCGTTGATGAACGACAGGACGACCCAGGCGACTGAGCCCTGGCTTGCTTCGGCGTCTTTCTCAAAGTACGACGCGCTAGAGAGGATGGGGCTGATGTCGCTGAGAAAGTATAAGGTGTTGAGCTGCGGCGTCTTGCCATCGTGTGCTTCGAGCTGCAGCACGGAAGTAACATTGGGCACTGGGGCTGATGGTGGTTGCGCACTGCCGTTAGCCTCGGCAGGCTGGGCAAGGCGCATGAGGATACCAGGGGAAGTCATTTTAATTGATCACTTTCAGCTCTTTTCGAGATTGTCGATTGTGTTGGAAAAGAAGAGAAACCACCCAATACTCATGTATTTATCCTCACTCCCCCGCGAGGTAGCCTTCAAGACATCAACCCTCTGCGCATATTGATATAAACACTGATCAATGTCCGTACTCATCCAGCGCTTGTCCTCATCAGTACTACGCACGACGTAGAATGTATCCACCATGGTGCACATGATTCCTGTGGAAAGATCCGCCAACGGATATCATTGTCCGAATCTCGACAGCACAACCACTTCCTATAACATCTCAGCTCACAGCATGGCCAATTGAAGAGAAATACAGGCGAGATTGCTAGGGATTGCAAAACGTTACGCCATAGTCCACCATCTCACGACCACAATGCCTCCCAAGCTGAACCCCCTCCCCCCGCTGAGCCAGCTCCCTCTAAACGAGGGTGACCCGCCTCACTCCGCATGGGGCCTTTGGGAAGGACAGGACAGCTCTCTCGGCTCGCTCAACTACCTGACTGACGAGCTCGTGCTCAAGACTCTCCGCGAGGAAGTACGGACAGGTGCGAGGATCGGCTTAGAGTAGGTACTGTTTGCACCACGATCCCGGACAAGTACTAAGTGTGTGAACGGCAGCCTACCGCTGGATTTCTTCAACCCGCCCCTACTTGGGCGAGCAGGGTTCGAGCAAAAGGTCATCGACAAGGCTCCCCTAGTCGTCAACGACGATATCGTAAGCCCGTCCCTTCCAGCCGGCTCGCCGCTTTTCTAACACGGCTGTAGATTACCTTCAACACACAAGGCAGCTCCCAGTGGGACAGCCTGCGTCATTTCGCATATCAAAAGGATCAGAAGTTCTACAACGGGTGCGTCACATGACAATCGGCGAGAAGGAGGTCGTTTAGCTAAACCCTTCCAGGGCGACACAGCAAGACATCCACGCAGCCCCGAGGACATCGGTCAATGACCTCCAAGGATGGACTGAGAAGGGCTTGGCGGGCCGAGGTGTGCTCATTGACTATGCTGCCTACGCGGCGCGGGAGAAGATTGCCATCGACCACTTCTCCCCGCACGGAATCACCGTCGATGTTGTAAAGGCCATTGCAGACGAGTCCAAGATTGAGTTCCAACCGGGAGACGTGCTTTTCCTTCGCACGGGGTACGTTGATGCGTACAGACAGCTTTCAAAGGACCGCCGCGTCGAAGTGGCCGGCGTGAGGGAATGGTGTGGCCTCGCTCAGAGTCGTGAGACGACCGAGTGGCTGTGGGAGCGCCAATTTGCCGCAGTGGCCTGTGATTCTCCCGGATTCGAGGTTCGACGTGAGTTATAGCCCTCTGCCATCGTTCTCGAAACTGCTCAGTGGCTAACCTGTCTAACAGCCCCGACTGACAAGGCGTGGCATCTGCACCCGATCCTGCTGGCTGGATGGGGCACGCCGATAGGCGAGCTCTTCGCCTTGGATGCTCTGGCGGACGCGTGCAGGGCCCGGGGGAAGTTCTCCTTCTTCTTCACTTCGGCACCGCTTAATTATTCTGGTGCGGTTGCGTCGCCTCCCAATGCGGTCGCGATTATATAGCGCGTGGGTAGCCCGGCAGGCAGGATCGTAGTTTAGGTACCCTTATGTAGTTATCAGGAGTGTCAAATACGCCAAATCAAATTGTATGATGTCTACGTTGTTATTATTGCGTGAACCTAACCCTCTTATCAACTGTCACTCAGAACATAACTCTAGTAAGCAAGCATCTTCATAGTGGCTGGTTTACAATAAGATATCTTAGGAATAGAAGTTTAATAAAAGGTTAAGAAAAATTAATCTTATAGACATAGCTCAATAATTTATCAGGGTTCTATATACTAATCTTGGTAGCGTCAACATTTCATGCATAGTTTTGCCATAGGCGGTCCTCTGACGGTTGAGCGAATCATAACCTAAATATTACTACCTTCCTATAAAACCAATACCACTTTCAATCCAAGTTGTTCTCCGCTGGCTTTTGCACAAACCCGCAATCTGCTGCCAATCACACGAGGTAGGAGCAGACTCAAACGTCTCGGCAGCTTCCTTGTCGTCAAAGACGCTGAATACGAGCGCAGATCCCTCATCTCCCTCTTCGCGGCCCAGGGGCCAGAAACTCAGCACCGCAGGGGTGTCTAGTGCCTGGTCTGCCAGGCTTGTTAGAGCCGCTTTAATTGCCCCGCGACAATCGGCATCAAACTCCAGCTCGTGCACGACGGCGTATCGGGCTCTGCCTTGTGCTCTCGTTGCCAAGTCCAAGCCACCCTCACGGCTCGCATAGCCGATGCCCATGGGCCTCCAAAACCGGAGATCACTGGGCCTCGACAGAAGACTTTCGCCGGCGACAGCTGCGCGGAACGCCTTGTACTCCTCACTTGCTCTGTGATCCACCGAATTCGCTTGGGGTGTTCTGTATCTTAAATGGTGTTAGCGATTGGAAGAAGGGATTGCAATTTATCCCCTCCCATTTCTCTTCAACAACGGTCAAGTACAAGGGCTTACATCTCCAGTCCCCTCAGCCAATGATGCGGGACAACGTCGTTGTCGCCGGCGCTGCGGAACCATGCATAGCCCAGGCAGTCCACCTCGGTGCGTTGCGTAACAGGTCCGATTTTGGCTATGTGCTCTAGAAACTTTGGCCTCCGTCAATCGCTGGGAGCATCTTGCCTGCCGCTGTCATGACTCACCCGGTCTCGTTTCTCGAGTGACGCGCAGTTGCTCATGGGGGATAGGATGTACATAATGGCGAATCGAATGTTCTAGAAAATAATCTCGAAACTTGCAATAGATGAGGGACTTCTGGAGGATGAGGCCTTGCTTGCTATTGATGACTGAGTCGAAGGTTGTTACTATTGCGTAATGTGGTGAATTATGTTTGCCGGACTCCGACATGCACCGGACATTGATTCCCGGCGGCATTCGTAGGCTCGGCACCGCGCTCGGAGGTCTTGTCGACCATATACCCATTAATCGCAGCTGCCCCCAGTCAAATCTGGCATCAATTGCTTCTTACTGTCGAAACCTCTTCAGAAATGTCGGCGACAACACCCACCCTGCCCGATACTTTTTGGGATAGTCTGGCCACCAAGGAAGATGACGGGGCCAGGATCCGTTGGTACATGTGCGTCATCATCAACCTGTCCTCCTTGAACTATCCCGACGTCATTCCCCAGGTCTACAAGCACCTGCAAGACCACCTCCTGCACGACATTACCGAGGCTCAGCGATTCAATGCCGTACAAATTATCAGAGAAGGTCTGATCAAATCGACTGGCATAGCCGGCGCAGCCAGAACAGGCAACGCGATGCGGACACTGTCTCAATGCGTGCCAGAGGAGTACCGAGAGAAGAGCTCGGGACGGGCTAATGAGACGCACGAATTCGCAGTGGAACGCGGTCGCCAGTTCTGGACAAACATATACGCGAGAAATCCAGCATTCGACCCCGAGGCGTCCGTCAAGGCTAGTCCGGATTATGCCTTTGTCGTAAGAGGTATGTTGAGAAATCCGTGCTATACATCTAAAACGCTGGCTGAGGGGCTCTATAGATGTTCTATACGCTAGAGTCTTTTCATACGACGGCGTGATCGACCCCTTGACTACGGGACTGGCGATGGTCTCGGCGCTGTATGGCATGGACTGTCCGAACCAGCTTCAGCATCATATGAAGGGATTCCTGTTCAATGGAGGAAGGCGGGAGGAGTTATTTGCACTGCGTGGCCTGTGTCTTGGGATTGCCAAAATCCTAGGCGTCCAGTCGAGGTACGGGGAGTGGCCTATTCCCTCGGTTGAGTCTGCCCAACCTTTGCCTAAGCAATAAGACAGGTAATAAAAATAATTTTATCATTGACTACTGAAATTCCTTCCACTCTAAAAGATGGTCATCTTTTATTTCTGCAGTGATCCATGCTGCACTTTCTACAAAGAAGCATTATAGTCCTTGTAAATTGGTGATTTAAGCTGACGTTGGAATCTATAGGGTACACTGGCGAATATGTAAACTCGACCAGAGACAGTTTACTTAATTAGCAGATATAGTAATTGTATATCAGAATGAAGCTTAAAAATAGACGACGAGGTTATAGTAGCTGGCTCATGAAGTCGTTCCGTACTCTATTGATATTAAATTACGGCTGCTTAACCGGATTACGATCATTAGGTCTAAGCACTGTTAAGAATAGCGTCTATCATTAAATGTATCCCTGCAATTTCATCAACTTTTTCTCTTCACTGAAGACTGAATTCTGATTCAAAGTGAGGAAGTTTGGAGTCTGGCCAAATAAACAATCTCTCCCAGTTAAACCCGTCCACCAAATCTGCCCCTCAAGATCCTTGAACCACCTCATGTTGAAGCAACTGACTTGTTGATGGACGTGATTCGGGGTTCCATTGGAGCATGTCCACAAAAATTTCGAAATCACTTTCGGACATATCTCAGGGCTTTCTTATCCTTGCTCCATCCCAAATATCACCATACCGAAACTCGCCTGGATCAAAGGTGTCCAAACCCGGTGGCTTTCCACTGTCGTCGATATAGTTCTCTGAATATTTGCCATCTAGGCGCGCTCGCAACTCACGGGGCAATGGCCCAAGTGTACCAGCTAGATCGTGATTCAATGTTGAGCTTCTTGATTGCCGAACGACTTCAGAACTCTTCAATTCCCGTTTTGTTTTCAAGGAGCTACAACACCCAGGAGAGGACGGAGCATGTATTATGCAACATCTCAACGACCCAGTTGATATCTACATAGTATTTCGAGTATCATACTCAAGAAACAGTTTGGCTGTGGTTTGCAGAGGAACAATTCCTTGACAAAACTGAAAGCCTTGATTGAGGAATGAAAAGGTCTACAAATATTTGATGGTTGATAACTAAATCGATGGAGTAGTTCGAGTGAAAGAAGGCGAGATCGGAAAAGTCGAGGTCGGAGAAGATAAGATTGAACGAAAAAGATCTTGTGAGCGAAACTTAAAGGAAATATGATTTCTTGTAGACGATTCAAGTTCGTGCGCAGAGAGAAGTCACTTGTCGTCAACACGCGTTGTTTGCTATGATCAACGACGCCTTGCTTTTTGTCTTTGAATGGAATACTTGAAGACAATGGGGCTGCTTTAGCTTCGGTACTGGTGATACCTAGGTACTGGACCTAGACAGGGTACGCAGTGCAGATGAAAGGCACATGCGTCCGACCCACAGTCCCTGATGGTCGAGGCCACAAGGGCTGGCGAAGAAGCAAGTCCAAGCCCTTGTGGTTGCAAGGCGGGTTCTCTCTGGCCTAATTTGGCTAAATCTCATCGGCGGGCGGGCCGATGGCTACTCGACGTCATCATCAGCAGCAGGCGTGGTGGCAGCGCGGCGCACACGGGGCGCGGAATTCTTGACCGCCGTGGCTGCTGAGGCAAGGGAGGAGAGGGAGGAGGGGGGACAGGAGGGAATGGAGGAGGCGGATTAGGATAGGAGTGGAGGTGGAGGGAAAGGTGGTGGTGGTCCTCTACTGCTTCTACTGTTGCTGCTGCTGCTTCTTCTTCTTGGCTTGGGCCCCGGATCCTGCAATCTGTAATGTTCTTTAATAATATCATGATCATTTCAAATGTTTAAGAAATGTCACGTACGCCAATCGAGGATGTTGATGCCATGGATCCACACCTGAACCAGGACGAGGGGGATGCTTATGGTGTAGAGCACACCAGTCACCAAATGGACCCAAAGGTCTATCGCTGTCGTTGTCATCGTCGTCGTTGTCATCGTCGTCCTTGCCTTCTTCTTCCTTCTTCTTCTTGTTGTTGTTGTTGTTGTTGTTGTTGTTGTTGTTGTTGTTGTTGTTGTTGTTCTTCGTCGCCGTTGTTCTCACAAAGCAGGGAAAGAAAAAAACACGATAACAAAACACAGGCCACTCCTTCAGTGTTGAGCGTCTAAATGCTACAACGCTCCTTCTGTTAAGTTGGGAAGCCATTGAAGGGGCTAGTTGAGGCACCATAACGAGAACGAGCAGGAAGGACCGCTCCAGAGGCGTGTAGAGTTTGACGGTTGGCGTCATCGTGCAAAATCAGGCCCAGGAGAGCTGTAGATTTGATCTCGAGATCTTTTAGTAAGAATTGGAATTGACTTGAGCTGTATACAGGATTTGTGGCGCAAATTCGTGTGCAGCTTCATTTGATATTAGAATCCAACAGCATTTGGGTAGTCGCGCCCATTTGCCAGACCTGAAGGCTTCATGGTGCGATAGATTACAATGGAAGGGAGAGCTTACTTGTACATGACCCAGTAGAATGAGCGGAGAATACTTCCCGTAGATGATTGCTGTAGTTCCGACCATTGCTGCATCTTCGATCTTGGCACCATGTGATATATTTCGTCTGCTCGTCAGCAAGAAGACCGTATGAGTGCGGATCGAGGTATTGGGTGAATTGAGCGTTGCTGCAGGCATCTTCTAGTCCTAGAATGTATTTCGATAACCTTCGCGTCATTTTAATGAAAAATTGATTCCCAATCCTCTGCCAGCCGTAGTCAATCGAACAGTTACAACACCTGACCCCGTGGGCAGAGGCCAGACTATACTTCTTTTCTTCCTCCGATGGCTCATATTTACGCAAAGAAAGGCTCGCTAGCCTAGAGGCGTATGTGCATCGAAGAGAGGGGGATATTTCACAATGGCATCGCATGTATGGATCAGTTCCGATTCCAGGAAACTTCGGGTTGTGCGAGTGAAGATGACAGCTGACAGCGATGGCAGGTGTGTCATGATTGGCCACGGACACACACGTGCAGCCATCAATGCAAAAGGCTCGAAGAAACGCCCCATCTGTGAAAGATATATGACCACACAGCAGTCGAGGATGCCGCTTCTGAGCCACGTCCAGTGCAGCTTGAACATCTCTCCGAGTGATGCGCTCTAAACCATTTCCGCTATGCCAGCAACTTCGTAATTTTAGGATAGGCAGCGTCCACTGGATAAGGAAGGAAGGTTCGGATTGGGAAACGTCTGTTGGAAAACTTACCCAGACACCTGGGAATTTTGTTCCACGGGGAGCCAGCAGCGAAACTACTGTGCCCCAGATTGGGGACAACGCCCTCGCGGCTGCTCCAGTCGCCGTGGCAAGAAAGCGAGCAGCGGGACCAGCGTCCGGGGCATCTCCCGACTCTCTGAGCTCGGCATCCCAATAACAGTGAACGCAGCTCCATCCCGAGATCTTCTTTGGTTTAACCCGCGGCGTGTTCATTCTCATAAGCCAGGCTTTCCAAGCGCGAAGATCCTCGTATGAGAAACTCTTGTGGGCACAAACATGAATTCGACCCTCAGCGAGAATACATCTTGCCGGTGTAGACACTGCAGCGGAAGGTGACGATATCAAGGGATTCCGTTGCCCTCGGTGTCTCTGGTAGTGAGGGAAAAGCAATAGCGGATGCAGGCTACGGCAGTAGCCGCAATATTGCGTCTCTGTGCATAGTCGACTAAGCGCAGCCTCGGTTGTCCCAGACTTGATATTTTGTTGGCAATCCTGGCAATAGGGGAACAAGCTTTTCCGACACAGTATTTCCATTATACGTTCCTTCTGTTTGGGACTCACGGTGTTCCCTGACACATGGAAATCGATGAGTCGTGAAGAATTCTCGCTCCGGTAATACCATTGTTGAGGGTGATGGTAAGCCGCGAACGCGCGGTCAGAGAATGCTGAGGCAAATATATAACATGTTTGCCGTACCATGTAGATATCAACTGGGTCGTCGAGATGTTGCATAATGGCAATCAGGAGGGCGCAGGGGAGCCTTCCGAGAGGCGTATGCGAGTTGCTTGTCTTGCTAGCAACCCACTCGGGCGTTCCTGCGAAGGATGGCCGCCGGACGACTGTCCTTTTCCACCCTTTCGGTTCCATTATTGAAGGATAGGCTCTGATTCCTTTGGAAAGTCTCCTTGCCTCAAGGTATCTCAGAGCGGAGGATTTTGTGGACTCGTTGGCAGTCAAGTGTCTCATGGGGAATATGGCAGTTTTATGTCTTTTGAGTATACCTTTTGCACTCACTGTGAACTCAAAATGGGCGCTTTAACTTCAACACAAAAACACAAAGTTGGTGGCTAAGGAAAAGCCAAAGCTAGGGCTCATTACGTGGTTACTTGGCTGGGTAAAACTGGCACATAAAGGATTTGATATTTAGGGGGCTACGGCCAAACAAGTACTTGCTACTCTCCACACAGTATCCATCGGCTGGTCTTTCTTCTTCATATCTTTCATTCCCTGATCCCCAGAATATAATCCGCTCCCAGAGATGAAAATAAAAAAAGTTCTAAATGCAGTCGCCGAACTTACTCGAAACACAAAGCGAGATGTGACCACCTACAGCAAAGGTTTCGCCACAAGCGGAAGCCCACGCTACCTAGGTAGTAAAAGTTTGGCGTGCGGGGAGTCAAACTTGCCCCGAGACATCAGCAGCATGAAAATACAGTAGGAACAGCATGTGCCTGCACCGCCTGCGAGGCGACAAGTACTCTGGACAATGTTTAAAAATTGCGACAGTATTACCGTGTAAGAAAATAAAAAGAGAGCACTCCATCGAGTTTTAAACTACTTCCGAGCGCCCAGAAAGCACATGACTTCAAATCAAAACATTGAACAAGAATAACTTTCGGTGTTTCCGAAGCCCAGTTGATAGCAATGGGGACGTGTCCTTTACCAATGTTGCCATCTCGCTGTGCTTGCCACGCCCGCAGTGGACCTCAGTCTCCTCAATGACCTTCCTCACTCGCTGAATCTCCTTTTCGATGAGCTCGGTATCTAAAGGGCCTCAATTCTCCTCCGGGTACTTGATGTTCTTGGTTCCAGGGATGGGGAGGATATTTCTCCTTGTCTCCACGCATCAATAGCTGCGACTACCAAGCCTAAGGGTCGTAAATAAAAAGAAAGGGATAAGACAAAAAGAAATTGCCATGGCAATATTTGAGCTCAGGCGATAGTGTCAGATATTCCCGGGAAGCGCATTAGGGTTCAGCTTTGACAAGAGAGAAGGGACTTTGGTCAATCCGCTCACTACGGTTGGGACTTTAGTTCTGAGGGAATGTTTTGGTGTTTGGGGAGTTGGCGGTTTGCTACCAGCCACATAGTTTTGCACTTAAGGTTTATCTAAAGTATATAATTATCAGAACCTTCTATTTAAAATAGTCATTACCTCCGTACACTACAAGCACCATAGCTAAAGTCAACTATAGGCACGCACCAGCAGTAAAGTCAGAGGGACTGCGTTTCTATTATTAGCTTTGCAAAGGCCTTTCTCACTGCTGCTTAATCAAAGGAGGGACTTTGGGTGCTTGGCTTGCAGGCTCTTTTGCCAAGAGTTCCATATTTTATCACATTTTTAACGCTGCCAATAGTATATCTATGCGCCTCCAGCCCATCATTTTTGACCAAGGGCATCGCCAACTCCAACATTTCCGAGTGGCAACATGATTAGCAGATTTTCTAGGCGCCCTTTGCCGCAGTAAGTTTATCAACTCTAACCGAAGCTCCGCCATTAGGGATATGCAATATTAAACACATCGGTTATTATTGTACCGAAAATCATGACCTCCGATGATTGGCAGCCGTCGCTGCCAAGCTCTGAGGATGCCTATCAGCTAAAGGCAATATCGAGACCGAACCACTCTGGTCGTACCACTTCGGCCATGTATAGCCTCTCTTATGGCCGAAGATCATCAATCCAATACTCTCCTGTGCAGCCTGACGCTGATTCAAACCCCAGCGGACAGACTAGCCCTCAAGTCAAGTCAGCAACCAATGTCGATACTCTCGATCCTAATGGAATGGAGGGGGCTGAATCGTGGCGTCCTTTTTGGCTTAGGCGGCCCGTGATTGGTACTTTCGGTCTATTGTTTCTTTGCTGCACAGTGGCCCTTCCTGTTCTGTTGTTCTTCTCCGAGAAGCGACATGGCCTCAGTGATGTTCGGAAAGGAGATACAAAAGACATGGGTAGCTTGTGGAGACTCGTTCCGACTGCTGGTATGTATATACCCCTTGTCTAAGAGATGATGGTCTTTCTGAAAATGTGCTCGCCGCTAGCTATGACCGCCGTTGCGATATTCTGGAGTCGTGTTGACTTGCAAACATTGCGATTTTTCCCTTGGGCTTCTTTGCAAAGAGGAGAACATAATGGGAAGGAGATGCTCGCTTTGGACTACACTTCAATGGTTCTTCCAAAAGTTTTGATCACGGCATTTAAGAGCCAACACTATTTTGTTTTCTTGGTTACCTTGGTATCAGTCATTCTAAAGGTGCAAATCGTCCTCTCATCCGGCTTATTCTATATCGAGACCATACCCATCGAGAAAATGGTTGATGTTCAAGTCCTTGACTCCTTCCATACAGCGGCAGACGGCCAGTCAAAAGTCAGCACTCCAAAGACCACTTCATATTACAACGCGCAAGCCGTTCGCGATTTCGGATTTAGTTATCCATTTGGAGTTACTAAGGAGGCCGCATATCAAACGTTTCAACATGGAAACAACATCTCATCAAGTCGTGGCACCAAGGAATCTCCTTTAACAGCTGTCGTAGATGGATTCTTCACAGAGGTGGATTGTCTCCTCCTCCAAAACTACACAGTCGCGGGTATCACAGCACCTGGCGGCTCCATGGGCAACGAAACTTATCCAAGTCCTATCTTCGATCTGAAATTTGAAGATTGCGAACGAACAATACGCATAGAGCCGTCATTTTTCGGGGCCCACAATGGTCCCTCGTGGGTTATGGGAACACCGCCTGGGGATCCGCGTCCATGTGCTTCCCTGCCACAACAACATGACCAGTTTCTACATTTCACGGCAATTTTAAGGACACCAATAAGTAATCATACAATTCCTACAGTAGCCGCTGCCGCTGCTGTCCTATGTGCGCCGCGCAGTTGGGTTTCCAAAGTCCAAATAACTGATGATGGCATCAGTCCGAACCTAACCGTCCTGGAAAACCAGACGGCGGAACTCGCTGGGGTAAATATCTGGAACCTGTTGGAAAAATCAATTTCAAGAGAAGGGTCATGGCTCAATTCTACATCCGGTGTCATGGGTCCCCTTGAGGCAGACTACTACTTCAATGGCAATGGTTTTTCAGACTGGAACGCCACTGATTCATCGTATTATGAGAACAAGAACCTACTCCAAGCCGTAACAAATCTCACAGAGGCCCTGGGTCCCCTTTTGGCTCATTATCATATTCGGGAATCCAACAAGACTCAAATGTCGGGACAAACACTTGAAAGAACTCCGCGGCTTTTAGTCAATCAAGGTGTTTGTATTGCCATGGCAGTGCTCTTCGGGATTGCTATGGCAATCTCTGGATGGGTGGTCTATACCACTAAACAAATTTACGGAGGTTGGAGAAGAGATCCTACAACAATATTGGGATCAATCATTTTCTTCTCGAAAGTCTCCAAGACCGCACAGGCCTTCTCAGCCAATGGAGGCTTCATACACGACGAACAAGATTGTCGAAAAATGTGGTCTCAGTCCCAACACTCCCCACTAGCCCTTCGGACCTGGCTTCGGACCTTGTTCACAATTTACACGTTAGGTCTTATCATCAGCCTCGCCGTAACACTTCAGATATCACAACGACCAGCCACTTCTGGTGGGCCAAGTGGGTTGGTGACGGTGAACGAGGGCGCCCTTACAATTTGGTGGACATCGCTACCCGCGTTAGCGATGCTCCTCGTGACGTTATACACTACTTCGTCGGACTTAGCAATGCGAGATCTAGCTATGCTTTCTAGGCTCGCCACTAGGTCGTGTTCAGCAAATGATATTGATATCTCCTTGTTGGACATGCTTGGATTGCGAGCCCTGTATCATTCCTTGCGACTTCGGATCTTTTCTGTTACTCTTTCTCAAATACTCGCCATCGTTTGCGGGACGTTGACAGCTCTCTCATCCATGCTCTTCCACTCTGAGATTGTTCCAGAAATCACGAGCACCTCGTTAAAACAGCAAAGCTGGTTGGGCCATCGACCGAGTGATAGCTCCATCGCCACACCAAGTAGCACCGAGCTAAGCAGCCTGCTCGTCATGCATCACAATTCAAGTTTTACATGGCCCCAGGGGACATATGCTGATCTCGTCTTTCCAAAGCTTGGTTTTCCTGACGGAGGAGACACTTCATTGGAATTTCGAGCGTCAGTCCAGTCTGAAGCCCCGGCCGCGAGGTTAAAACCGAGCTGTATTCGACACACCAAGACAGAGTATTACACAAGAACCAGAGTTTGGAAGACTGTGGGCTCCAAGAAGTACTATGCCTGGGAGATGTTTCGAAATATCACCTGCCCGGGCGGCACCATTGGTAGCACCATGCTTACTGGTGTACTCCTAGATGCTAAGGATCCAGGTCTTGATTACGAGTATTTTGCGAGCACCAGCACGTCATTTTATACTGCTTGTGATGTAAATACTGAGATTTACAAAGATTCTTATTCTACTTCATATATATGGGGTAACTTCTCTGCGCTGACCGCAACAGCCAACTATGTGGCTTACTGGACTTGCAACTATACTTGGTCCGAGGTTCCCACAAACTTGAACCTTGAGTGGCAGAATGGGGCGCTTCGTATTGACCCGAGCAAACCGCCTGTTCCGGATAACTCAAGGATTCGACAATTGTACACCCCGTTTCCCATGCAGAGCTTTAATGATCCTGCTCCCGATGCAAAATTGGACGACAAAAGGGCAGCTCGGGTAGGGCCTAACTACAATTATATATTCAAGCCCTTAGGTCCATTGGATCTGGACTCTCTTGGTGATCCAGATCAAGAACAGGCTGTGATGGCAGAGATGAATGAATTCCGCGGGATTATGGAGGCCCAGAAAGCGAACATCAAGAACCGTCTTGGGCTTGAAGAGGCTTCTGCATCAGAGCCATTCCAGCCAGGGACTCTGCCTTCTATCGACGGCATTATTACAGACGACAAGAAGCATAGGCTGGTTCAGAACCCTGGGATTACTTTTGCAATCATAGCAATTCTCTCGATGGCGTTTGCCACTAACACAGCTTCTTTGATCTCGAGAAGCCTTAGATACCTCGCATGGAGACACCCCCGTTTTCTTCCGGACTTGGATCAGAAAGGGCTTGTAGTCAATGGATTCAACAGTATTTCCATGTTGGAGTCTCTTCTTAGCCGCTCAAACGCTCTCTGGCTTATACCAGAAAATGCAGAGCAGTTGCCCTCGAACGAACTGTACCAGAATCTCTCAGGGATTAGCTTCAGACTCGGCTGGTTTTACCGAAAGGATACTCGGAGGGAAGAATTTACTGTTGGAACCCAAGGCGATGAGAATTTCGCGTTTTTAGGCTCTAAATAAAATAAAGTTAATTCTTTTTCATTATCTAGTTTGATTATATCATACGCTAGATATTGAAGGATAAGTTAAAACTGATCTCTGACTTACTTTAAATGGTATATAGTATCAGCTAAATAGAAAATACTACTTAAGCATTCACATAATTAACTGCATTTCGGAGGATCGTACATGCTGCGGCGTCGATGGCTGTTCGAGCGATGAATCTTGCCTGCACAAATGAGTAACAATTATTCTTCCACACGACCTCACCTATGTTAACTCCACGTCATTAAACGCTCCAACTATATCACGAAATACTTCTGCTGACTACTTATTGATCTTTGTAACCAGATGACTATGTCAGGCTTCGCCGATAAGTCATAGAGCCCATTCTTCTTCCAGGTTGCCACCGATGTACCGAAAAGTCAGACCTTTGATCATATTCCCACCTTCGGGGGTCTCTAGGTAAATATCACATCTCACCACCTCGTACGCGCCCGTTTCGTAGTATCGAAGGGCATCCTCTGCCTCTTTGTCCTGTACTAAGAACCCATGTCCATGAACCTTTCCTCCGCCAAAGTCGTCCACAAGGGCTTTGTATTTACCTGCCCACGTCCCAAGGCGCCCACCTGTAGTCCATGCTGGTGTGAGGGAGACAGGGTGATTGGGACCTAGCAGTCGGCCTAAACGATCTCCATCTGCTAAGGTGCCGTAGAAGAAATACCACACGGGGTAGTCTTCGTTAGCTGGCTGGGGGGTTTGGTGAGTAGGGATGGGAGAAGAAGGTCTATTTTGTGGTAAAGTGGTGTCCAGGCCCAAAGTTGGATAAGCTGATTGGCGGGATAGATCCTTGCAGGCCCTCGAGATGGAGATAATGGTTGTTGAGCTGCCCATTGGTAGGTTTGCGAGGAGTTTCTCTTTGTCCTTCCCGTTAACGACGGCGAATAATTCGGTCGTATCTCCATAGCCCGTTTTGATTTCCGGGAGGATCGGGAGCCCTGCAAGACGCTGAAGAGCGGCGGCGTCGGGAACGCTGCCTTCTAGCTTCACGAGGTATATACTCTGTGTGTGAGTGTTGGAAGAAGAAGAAGAATGGTTCTGTGCCTTGGCTTGGCGGGATAGCCATCGGGAAGACAAGCTATATTCATACGCTTCCTTATTGTACCCCAGACTTTTCTTCTCCTGGTCGATCTCCTGCCAAGCCAAGAGGGGGATGGAAGTGCGTCCAAAGTCGGCCCTCCAGCTGCGGAGTTCCTTGATGGCTTCCTCTTCTGTAAAACCAAAGAGATGCTGCCATCGCTGTATTTGCTCCTTAGGAATCTCAGCGTCGGAGCATTCGGAGGCATTAAATGAGGCGATGTTATTAGCAAGATCTTCGCACGCTTGAAGGATGTCCATCTCGTTTAAAGTGGAAAGGAACTTCGATGAATGATACTGAGATTTGGCAAAGTACATATGTAAAGGCGGTAGTATAAATAGAGATCTAATGAGCGGCTCGTCCCGACAGCGAGTGAGTCATCGGTATAAAAGGTTTGCAGAGTTTTCCATCTGCGTTGCTTTAGCCTTAGGCTAGTCGATTTTATTTTTGCCTGTTGTATTCATTGTGTGAGATGACGGGTCTGGCATCTATCTTCTATTGCTATTTTTAACTTTATACTCAAACTCTCTCTCGTATCCCTCCACAATGTCTTGGGCGAGCGAGTTCCAACGCCAATCTTTGATGAGTCGAGGCTCGTGTTTGCAGGAGCGGATACTTTCGCGATGTGCCCTTCAATTCTCTCGCGATATATTGTTTCAGGAATGCTAAGGACTACGGGGAGCCTCCGAAATTTTCCTTGGCAGGGAGACGACATGAGTGGCAACCACACTGACTATGACGCTGGCATTCAGTTAGTTCGCAGCATTTTTGATCCACCCAAGGCAGACGAAAGGCTGCACCATTGAAGGGGTTGCCTAGAAAATATGCGATTTTCATGACGATTATGATGCAGGTGTTTTTCGGTCTTCCTGGGCGCGGCCAAAGATCTCCCACGGATATGGAAAAACATGTCCCTAGTAGGTCTTAGGCCGAATTCCTCGAGCTGGTAGCATTCAGATGATGTTTTGGTCACATTGACCTCATGTTTTCTTACACGCATCAACTCCATCATCCAGCCCGGCTAAGTGAATTTCCCTCTGACAATGTTGAATTCAATGATCTCGAGAGTCGTAGGCTTCTCATCAGCACGCCATTACGAGTCGTAAACTTATTGAGTCTTTAATAGATAAACTAGCTTCACCTCAATCTTCCCAATTACACCAAGCTCGAAGCTTTTCCCCGGTCCAAGCACAAGCTTATATAAATTGGAACAGCATCCGGCGACCCCCAGTGCAGCATCTCATCCCTTTTCTCATCATTCGCCCAATAAAACTCTTCGTGCTTCCACATGGGCCATTGCTCGAGGTCTAGGTAGCGTCCGGTTCGGCCTCCTTGACGAAACTCCTCTTGCTTACAATCAATCACTTCCAATAAAACTGCCGCATCAGTGGACCAGCCTCCCCAAGCTTGAATTCTGTTTGCCAGTGGGGTGCTCTCTGTGTTCCGATTGGATTGGTCGCAATAGTCAAATACGTACAGTCGTACAGACAGCACAAGATCTGACCACTGATCACGCAGCTTCTTAAAATTTCGTGCCCAGTCATCGTTGATTGGCGCCATTTCATTACACCAGAATCTAACATCGATGCTATGAACGTTCGGCAGGTGGGACTTAAGCAGCAAGATGTCGGCAATCAAGGTCTTCGCGAAAGCTGCGGCATATTTCTTTCGATACCACCAGTCATGGCAAGACTCGGCGTCCTTCGAGTAATTAGACTGAGTCTGTGAGACCTCGACGATCAGTCGATTGCTCCTAGTCTTCATCGTATTAGAGCAGCTTTCAAGATGGGATAAAAGCCTAGCTTGGTTCGTCATATATTCGCTTGGTTCTTGAACTGGTAGGACGATGGCATGGTTCTTGTAAAGACGACTTTGAAGCTCCTCGCCAATAATTGGGTGAACGTAAAGAAGAGGCAATATGCTAGGCGAATATGCAGTTTTAGCGACAAGCATATTGCTATGCGGGATGTCTACTGGAACTAAGTCGTAGATCATATGCCGGACCTCCCGAGGCAAGGATAGAAAAGACGCTGGGTCGGCCATGATAGACTTGAAGTGAAAGCTGTGAGTAAATTACACTAGGTGTAGGAATAAGAAATAGAAACAGGAGCCTTGCACAGCCACGTAATAACGCGCTTTAAATAACTTTTAATTACTGACTCATCACCTTTTTTAGATATTGTTACCCTAGACCGGGTCTGGTTGGCCTACCCTGTAGCTTGCGCTGGTAGAGTTACATAGAACTAGATTTAAATGTATCTACTAACATCTGCTCTTTATTCATGGGTTATTTCATCGTTACTGTTAGTAATTTATTTAAGTCTTTACATGCGGTCTTATTATATAAAGTTGTTAGCCAACAAAAATTACCTTTCAATCTTGCCATCTCCACGGTTATTAGGTCAGCCTTAGCATGGTCCTCACGGAGGGATATAAGATATTGAGCAACGAGGCAATCATAATCATCAATGAAGGGGCCAAACACAAGCCAGACTTCAAGGTATTTAGAACTTGATTCTGTCCGTAAGTGAGCTTACGTTCACGGATATAATGATCAGGGGCTTCACCTAAAGGCCTATAGACAGCCTTAATTTAGTTTAGTTATATATTCAGTGGTGCATCTACTTAAGTAAAACCAACACCACTTTGGAGAGTTTTCCATCTGCGTTGCTGTATCCTTAGGCTAGTAGAGTTTTTTTTTGCCTGTTTTTTTTCTTTTCAGCCTTATTTGAGTAAGCTGACTCTTCGGCCTACCTTCCTTTAAAGGTCTTGCTTGCCTTTAAAAATCTGCTTCCTTTATCTTCTATTCTTGATCTAATCTACTGCAATCTATAATTATAGCAATAAGTAGCTATCCCTCTAAACAGCAGCCAGCTATATTAGTTGATGCTATCTGCCGGAATCCGCGATAATAGCATCAATAGCTGTAGCCTTGACCAGATAAGTCAGACCCTTCTTTGATCCAGCTGACCGCGATCCAGATGAATGCAATCAATAGATGTAGGTGAGTTGTAGTTAAGGATGATCCAAGGTTTGCATGAGTAGCCTCAAGTGGCGTAGCTTCAAGTGACTAAGGACAGAATTGTAAATGTACCACCCAATGCACCGTATGTGGTGCCGTCGGGCCAGAAGTACCTTTTTTCCCGAAGGCTCCTATGCTGTTGAGCTAAATCATGTTGAGCCCACATACAGTTGAAGGCGCCGACATTCAATTCAATACATATACATACGACATGCTGTGGAGACGACCACCCGTTATTCGGGATTCACGCCCGATTTTCGTTACGCTGTCTCAGATGACATAGCATTATCGGGAGAGCAATCTCCCGGCTTATCTTAGGTCTATTCTACGTAAGAGAAAGAGAATAAAGTTCAACAGCAATGGAAGCTGCCAGAGCCCGACAACTCAACACAATGAAGGTCTATTCTACTACCGGCGAAATATACTGATAGACTAACTACCGAATAGACCAAGGTTATATTCTAATCTCTTCCTATGACATTATATTTCCATTAGTTTCGTTACTGATAGAATGAATCATTTATCGTGGCTTTCCCCCTCTTCTTTTTTAAGCCCGAGATATATTAATAGCTTGCAATTCATTCTATTTCGCTAATAGTAGAACGGACCTAGGACAACATGAAGCCAGGAGATTGCCATCCAGGCCACAGAACCTATCATAAGCCTGATAGTTATCGCATTACTGACGTAATTTCTCCGATGCTCGAAAACGCACCTAAGACAACATAAAGCCAAGAGATTGCCATCCAGGCCACAGAACCTATCATAAGCTTGATAGTTCTCGCATTACTGACGTATGTGGATCCATATTACCAACCTCCTGAGACTGTGATCTCGGTCCATTAGTCAGTCTATTAGTATATTTCGCCAACAGTCGAACAGACCTAAGACAAGCCAGGGGATTGCTATTCGCTCTCCTCTGCTAATCGTAGTATCAGGCTATAAAATCTAGCCGGTTGAGGCCTATATAAGAAGGCCTATGTCCAGCAGGCCGTTTTTATCTTTTTCCAATCCAAAACACCTATCACCAGAACAATATTATAATCCTCTACTTTCTAAGTAACTTGCACTAAGCAAGCATTGATTTATCATGCGCCTGATTGCCTTGCTCACCCTCCTCGCAGCTACAAGCCGGTATGTCTTACACAAGAAGACCTAGTTCTACAGGTTTGAATTATGCTAACCCTCTTGGTCTAAAATAAACAGCGTCTCTGCAATGTAAGTAGCCTATTACTTTATAAGAAACCGAATATAATCTGATTACGGATACTTCTTTAGCGGTTGCCAATGTAACGAAGCATATGATGTCCAAACATGCTGCCAACAAGTCACAGGACGTCCTTCTTTTTACGATCCAACTTGGGGAGAAGTGGTAGGTTCTCGACCACCATTGGAATTGCTCGAGATGCTTACGACCCTACCTTATAGTGTGAAATTAGCATTTTCCAGCCGAGGCAACAAGACGACTTCAAGGACTGTTGCTATTCGAAGAGCGGTTTTTTAAGTTGCAGGCCCTACCTATTGCATTCAGGGCTCAGGATTTAGTGTAAGATAAAAGGCGTATACAAGACCCTTTCTTCTTAGGGGAAATGGGGAAGTACGTTTGCCTTTACTTCAATGGATCTGTTTCGGCTGGGGTGGTTTCAACACAAGCCCTGGCTTTCTATTATTAGTGGAGAGCCATAATCTAGTTTAGTCATACATTCAGCATGTATCCACCCTGATTATAAAGCGTCACAAATAATAAATGCAGAGCTTACCCCGCGCTGGGACGTTGGTAACGAAGACTCTAATCCTCATCCAATTGCCACCAAAGCATTTATCCACCAAATCAATTGTTAACTACCGAATTTCCATAATGCCTTCCAACGTCATTTGGCCTAAGAAATACCTTCCAGGTACAACAGATAATTACATATCTAATGAGGTCATTGTCAAGGACCTTACCGCCACACAAGTCTGGCCCTTCCTTGTCGACATCAATCAATGGGAATCATACTATGACAATTGCTCCCGAATCACACCGCCATCATCCGGGTCTATTCTTAAACAGGGGGATAAGTTCAAATTTGCTACTTTCGGTTTCGAGCCTCTCCCAGCTCAGGTTCTCGAGTCTGTAGCTCCGACTGAAAGCTCGCCCGGTCGCATCGCCTGGCGAGCTTGGCAAGACGGAGATGAAAATACATCGCTGGATGTTTACCATGCTTGGATAGTCGAGGATCTCGAATGGGGTGTAGTGCGCATTTTAACGCAGGAGTCTCAGATTGGCAAGCCAGCGGTTGAATTAGCCAAGCAGAAACCGAATCCCATACTGCTGGGACATCAAAATTGGCTGGATAGTCTCGTTGAATATACAAGGATGAATAAGAAATAACTTACAACAATTAATTTCTTACGTATATTAAAAAAATACGTTACGTTTACTCCGTTTTCCAACTTCTATTAATACTAACTATAAAATGATTCTGCTGGCATGAAACTATCATTCATGCTTGTAGACGTAGTGACCGCGTCATTCATTCAGGGGTATTGCTTGCTCCAACTAGAAATACAACCTACAGAGTATGGGCACATGCGCGCATTAAAATTACTAGGAACAAAGAGAGCAGCTACAATATATAATGCTTTCCCGGCCGTATTGGATCAGTGATAGTAAAGTGCTGAGAGAGGAGTCTGCAACACACACAAAAACCACAACAACGCGAGGGCTGCCCAAAAAGGGTCTTTGCGATCGTTGGCAGAATCATCTCCCGCTTTATGATTCGTCTTTAGACAACACCTTGCGCTTGAACAAGAAGAGGATTCCGAAGAGGTCAGAGGGAACAATGGTCGGTTAAATCACAAGATCATCAAAGGTAGGTTGGTTCTTGGAGGAGAGAAAAAGTATGTTGACTTCGATCTCTCGTCTAGAAGTCTGACCTATTATATAGGTATCCCTTGTTTCCTTCTTTAAGCTCAAACTTCAGCATTGGGCGCCAAATCTGCACTTCAATAGTATCCCAAAACTGGTAAATTACATCGCTTCCCATTGTTTTAAAATACCCATGAGGCTACTTACTACTCCACAAAGACCAATGTAGCCATTGTTGTATCTTATGTACCCAAGGCTAGAGATTGATATAGTTAGATCGCACATATCAGAAAGAGTCTGCTGCTTTGCCGTAACGTGTTCCCTATTCCTAGTTGACATTTAGTATAAGCCACGCAGACATATCAAAGACGTGAATTAAAACGCCTTTTTTACCGACAGTAGTACTCACCATCTTGCTTTCCCCTCTTGAGGCACTGTTCTGTTGTCATCGTGCAATAAGCTTTGCTTACACAACGTTGACAGTTGACTAACAAGACTGCATATAATCGCAATAGACCAAAATCGCGTAGCCTCTACCTGGATTGTTTTGCCGCGTTTGTGTCTAGCGAGTCCCATGGCCTGTGGAAGTGTTGCTGCGTCCAAAATTGTATAGCAAGCAAGAGCCAAGTAACGGCAACAATCGACGTATCGTTGGGTCGCATGATTGGTCTTGCGGTGACGGGATTCAACGGCAGCCGCCATAAAGTCAATAGTCTTTCCCAGGCGAAGAAGCTTCCGTGCCACAGACAGATGCTTGATCACCAGTTTTAAGGCGCTCAAATCCCTGTTTGAGCGTATGAGTGCCCACAATCCCAAGTGGCAAGCATATTGAACAAGACGTAGCAGCTTGTCCCGACCGAGGGTGGTGGCGAGATAGCGTGAATACCGTTGTTGAAATGTCTGACTGGTGACCGGCCGGGGACTCATGGTGAAGCAAGTCTGTAATTGATAAATAGAAAGATTTAAAAAAACTAGTTGTTCCTTGTATCAAACTATGAAATCTAAACGAATGGAAGACTGAGCCACATACTGTAACGAACGACAAACTACAGCGTGAATGAGTGAGAAGAATGTCATAGACTAACAGAAAAGAGGAGCATAGAAATTAAACCAGACTACGTAATATGGAAAATAATGCCAGTTGCTTCTAATAAAGATGACAGGGAGGCGGCCACTGCACGTCGATCCACATAAGTCGCATCCGTCTCACGCGGCCATAGGGCTGGCAACTTCCGGGTCGTCGGCAATTCCCGATACTTCGGGAATGGGTGCACAGCACAACCGTAGATCAGGGCTCGGAATTACACGAGTATCTTTTCAGATTGGTCTTTTAGGTTACGACTGCGGAGACTTTGCTCTAGGAGTGGTTAATATAATATGCTTATGGTATTCGAGCGAGTGGTGATCGTTCCATACCCCTTTGCTCCTGTCACTAACCAAAGCGGCGAATAATATCGAAATACATACGAAATTTTCCTCCATTATGCTTTCTCAAGACTCCCAGATTGTTATCGTCGGCGGCGGCGTCTTCGGATTGAGCACAGCTTTGTGGCTCGCCCGCAGCGGACACCGCAACATCACGATCTTTGATCGATGCGCCTTTGACCAGAGCTTCTACGACCCTCATAATGGCTGCGACGGAGCTTCGGCCGATATCAACAAAGTATTCCGCATGGCCTACGGGAAGCAGCAATGGTAGGCGGCCACTCTGCTCTTATCTGCACTCATTTGATTTCTGACAAATGCGTTGTAGCTACCAGGATCTAGCCATCGAGGCTCGCGCGATATGGCTTTCTTGGAACAAAAATATTGAGGAGAGCACTTCCTCCCAGCTGCCCTCAGGTCTCGAACCAGATGACAAACTTTTACATGAATGTGGGAATTACTTCCTCGCCGAGGGCCCCGAGCTCTGCGATTTCTACAAGGAGAGCTTGGACTTGATGGAGAAGACTGCGCCTGATGTTAGGAAGACCCAGTTTCTCAAGGTGTGTCTAGATTCAACGAGTCCTCTAAGTACGCCATCTTTCTAAATGTTGATAGGGTAATGCGCTGGATGAGGAGAAGCTGCGCAAGATCGACCCCAAATGGGTAGAAAAATTGCACATTGTTGACCACATCAACAATGGAGATTCAAACGGTTTCCTTGACATTCAAGGGGGCATCACGATTGCAGACAAGGCGAGACAGCTAATAATTGCACTTTCTAATTCTTTGTTGCTGACCAAGATATATAATTCAGGCCTGCGTCTACGCTAGATTCTTGTGCGAACAGCTCGGTGTGAAATTCGTTCTCGGACAGCCCCAGGGCGTGTTTTCTAGCTTTGTCTATGAGAATGCCAATCGGGAGAAGAAGATTATTGGTATCAAAACTGCAGACGGCCAACGTCATGCAGCTGACCTTGTCATCGTTGCTGGTAATGTCATCCGCCCTTCGGAAAAGAGGTAGTGGGTCCTGGAGATTAACACGATTCAATAGCTGGTGGTTGGACTGCCTCCATTATTCCTGAGGCCTCTCGAACCGTGGAGACAACAGCGGGAACAGTCATGTTCATCGACATACCCAAGGAGAGGCAGGACCTTTGGAAGAAGTTCCACCCGGACAACTACCCCGTCTGGTCTTATCGAAGCGGTGATGGGGACAAGTAAGCTTCCATTACCGATAAACTCAACCTCCACTAACGCATTTGCAGCTACTACCAAGGCGGGGGCTTTCCTATCACAAAACAGGGTCGTCTCAAGTTTGGCTATAGAGGTCGCAAAGTAAGGAGCCATATGGTCACAGCATTTCCAAACCACTAACTCGACGTGAATAGTTCACCAATTTCGAGGATCACCCCACAGAGCCAGGCTTGTGAGCTACAAATTTGCTAGACATATAGTTCTCTGAAGCTTCGCTAATGAATCCTCCAGGCGTGTTTCGACTCCTCGCACGAAGTATACTAAGAAGCCGATCAACACTGTACCGCTCCATGGACTTCCTGGCATGAAAAAGGTTATCACGGCGGCATTTCCAGAGCTGAAGGAATTTGGATTCACTGACAGCAGAGTAAGTTACGCAACACTGAGGTTTATGTCGTGCAAAGATTCTATAAACTAAATTTACCCACCTGTTAGCTATGCTGGTATAATGATTCTATTGACAACCACGTAAGACTCGCCCCAGATTTGTCGACCCAAGTCCCTTCTCACATTTCCCATAGTATGTTATTGATTATGTGCCGGGATACTCTGATTCCCTCTTCATCTGCACAGGAGGCTCGTAAGTGTTCATTAGATTGATCTCCTCCATCTCACTGCTTCCTAAGAGGCTTAGACTCATTTGATATATAGGGGACACGCTTTCAAATTCCTTCCTATCCTAGGACGAGTACGTTTCCATTAAATCGACACGTAAACTTTCAAATACTGACCCAAGTAATAGCATGTTGAGAACCAACTGAAACGCGTCCCGGATCAGTTTACATCATTGTGGAAGTGGCGCGTTGCCGAGCTCGAGAAACCCAATAATGGCCTCTCGGAGGGAGAGTCGGGTCCTAGGGAGATGTCGCGTGTGGAAATGGCTCGTCGTAAGTGCTCAACAATTCATCCTAGCTACATTTTTACTAACAAGACCTCTTTGCAGCTCGAGACTTCAAGATGACTGAGGCAGGTTCTCCTTCTTCTCATAAACTAAAGGGAAACCCGAAGTATCTTTGAACTAATATGCAACGCAGGATTTCTTTTCCAGACTTTGAGTAGGATCCCACCTCTGCTCTCACACGAGAATTGGCAGAAACAGCATTGATCCGTTGAGTCGAATGTAACTAGAAATTGGATGGAAGTAAAGGAATTCAGCCATCATTATATAATTTCATATACATGCAGGACAAATGCGGTTGTTTCGGTAGCTATTGATCACATCGATCACCCATGTTAAGACAAACGTTTCTCCTAGCAAAGGTGTGAAAGATGGCATGTCTCTTCACTGAAATGTGTTTACACATTATCATCGTGAGTCATATTATACCCTCCAAGATTATCCATAAAACCAGATAGAAATTCATCAAGCCCGGACAACATTCCTGTGTCGTCAATCTCAGTCATCCACCTCGCAACCGCCTCTCGTTCAGAGGTAGCCGACAAGGCCGGAGTGGCGGGCACAGGCGGCCGTTGCAAGTTTCTGTTCACAATCATGGACAATGTACGATTGGTCAAAACCTCGAAAATATCACGGTACGGAGCGGCCTCCTCCCAAGCCTGCGCTATGACAACCAGCACCATGATGCAGTCTGTGCATATCTGGCTTACGTCGCCGTGCTGTACAGATTCGCAGGCGGCATTTGACGTCCATAGGCAGTGCAGAAAGATCAATCCCGCCCAGAACACGCAGTGGAGGGTGGCCCATGTATGCTGGATGGAGGTGCCGACGTACTGGCGTCGATATAGCCGACAGACGGTGCTGGCAGCTTGCATACAATCCAAGAAGACGCTATCAGGAGTATTTTCGGGCTCCACCAGTTGGTTGCGGTAAAGATTGAGGATGGTGCCGCTGTAGTTGAGGTCGTACCAGGCTTTAGTAGAGAAGATGGACAACGGCTTGCCAGATCGCGGGGGCGGTTCAGGAGCCGTCCGCCGCCATTCTTCCAAGTCTTCACGAAGCTGCAGTATGTGAGAGTTTCGCGTATTGTCGTCGACGTCGCCCAACATGCTAGTCGAGTAAACACAAGTATGAATGCGGGCCCATATCCGCCGGAGTCGAATAACGTGGAGAGCATTGGACATTGATGTTGGTGCTGTGTCGGGTGATGTTCTCGGGATTCCAAGAATGCCGGAACTGCTGATTGAAGCGTCGTCAATGTCAAGCGGAAGCTGGGCGAGACTTTGTCAGTGACTGCGCCAATTCGACTTTGTTCATGTGTTTCAAACCCATCGCGTCGTACATACCTCGGCATCTATTTCATGTACTTGTATTCCCAACGGACGGCCCAGCCGTAGCGCATAAGTCACATCTATCCCTTGTGCGCACCAGAATGATCGCTTCCGTAACTCGAGTTGGAGCGCATCCTGGACAGAACGTACCCTCCGAGCACTGCGGTGATATCCTAATTCAATACACTGCCGCAAAGCTAGCCCTGACAGTTTCCTGAACATCATTTAGAAGCATGCCTTTTAAAATCGACCAAAGTACTACTACATACCATAGGGAGGGCCCTGTTGGCGATCGGAGCGAGTACATGGCATAGCATAATATGGCTTGTATCGCCTCTAAATTGTTATAGGATAGAACATCGGGATAGAGTTGCGCCGCACTATAATGTTGCTTCTCCTCTTCAGGGTCGTCTCAAGCAAGAAAGGGGCGATGGTGGGCACATACCTCTGCTAAGTGCTGACAGCCTGGAACCAAGATTGCACCCACTGCATATACCTTTGAAATACTTGGTAAGCCACTGCCTGGACTTTCGTGCCACTTCCTCTACCGGAGCTGACCTCGAAGATAATATGATAACTAGGTCCCTGGGAGACTAACATACCATGTGCATGAAGAAGAAAGGCGCAGTGGCCACCCCGAGGTCGGTGGTGTCTGGACACGCAGCCAACAGATTTTTCTCGTATTGCCTGAAAGTCGGCTCGTGAAGAAAAGGATACTGTGGATGTATATTCTCAAAGTAGGCATTACTGAGAGTGGTAGCAATACCGTACCCTGGCAAAGGACAAGGTAGAGGGGAGATGCACAAATGGCCGGGATTAGTTCGAGAAGATGGCTTGGGGACAATCGCCCCCCGGAGAGAAGAACTAATGAGGTGAGAAAAGGCGAACGCGGAGGATGATCCCAAGTATTGGGGCTCGGTCTGGGTGGTTGAGACATCCAGTTCTCCGACTCTTACAGGCAGGCCGCTATGAACAACATCACCTACCTCGGAGGCAAAGGCGGGTACTGAATGGTCGCCGCCATTGCTGCTCTGGAGGACTGGCGTGGAGGAATTGCTGTCGGTGAAACGGTTTTCTGAAGCTTGGTTCTCGAGAAGAGCCAAGCGCTCTTCGAGGGTTTCGAGATAGTTGCGAGGCCGCTGCTTCTTCGTTTCCGGGTCCTCGACAAGGCAAGCTGGATCCAGGTGAGTGAAGGACTACAACAAGAGATAAAGATTATGCGGCAAACTTACAACAACCAAACCGCTGGCAATTGGCGCACTTGGGAGACTTGTCATCGCACTATTGGCTCATTGGTAAGAAGGAGAAAATATCGCAACACAATCAAGGATTTATTTGTGATGACGGGTTAGGAGGGGAACAGCGAGAGAAGGGAAGGTGACTCGACAGAACATAACTTCATATAGCAAGCTTCGCAGTCAGGAAGACGGGGGATGAGTTCACTTGAAGGCAGTCGCACTCAAATCACTTGCCTTCAACTTCTTTTCTTTGCAGGATACGCAAGCTCGGCTTGCTCTTGCTCCATGTGCCTGCCGACGCCTCGGGGTCGATGCCCGTGCGGCATTATTCTGTCTCATGGTTTGATCACAACACGGCACGCCTCGCACATCAAGTTTTGCATACAACAGCGGGTTCGTTCGTTAGGGAATGTGTGGGGGAAGCTGGTAAGAATTGGAGACGGGTGTTTACAATCTCGAATCCACTCATATCTCGGCCCTTTGGCACCTAGTAGAGAGGGGAACCCTCCAGTCCCGATGCCAGTCTACGTGTGTCTCGAGTCACGAGTGTCTCTAACGTAGTGGATAAGTTTATCATAGTCTGTTGGTCTAACTATAACAGGTATCTTGCATTTGGGCAGAGGCCATTAGCCCGCATTCTGGACCATGCCACCATCTTGTGATTGGCTCTTCGTGTATTTCCGAAGCATCCTCAATCTATGTCGGCATCTTCCGCCACCCTCGTACAATTCCGGCCATGGCAATTAGCAAAGATTCACGCACCAAAAGAAACCGGGATTTTCCACCCCGTAAATTTGTTGGCCATCTCCACGATCATCTTTTGGTCCCCAGATAATAGATCTGATAGAAGTAGGCCTGTAATCTACCCAGGAGGGTTTATAAAATGCCAGAGCCCGGCACTTCCTAGTTACAGATCAGGATCAAGATCCAAATATCCCTCAACTCTCTGGCCATTATCAAGAGATTTCCGTCAATTGGTTCGATAGTCATGGGTATCACAGACAGCCTCCAACGATCATCTGCTGCCACATACGTGCGAGCTATCAAAGAAGCTCCTCGTCATGTTATCCTGAACCGCCCTTTGTGGACCAGTGCCTTTTTGTACGCCCTCGCAGGCATGCCCATGAGTGAGTTCCCATACTACATTACGAGCTACCCCTTGAGAGCTTGACAGTTGACAGACCATCGCTACAGCTTGGGAGCAAGGAGCGTCAGCTGTTGTTCCTACTCTTCCTGGATTCCAGAAACAGTTCAACATCAAATCTGGATCAAGTGCGGCCGATATCTCCACCTATGTCTCCATCATCTATGTCGGTTACGCCATTGGGGCCGCCGTATCCTTTTTCATCAACGACTACATTGGCCGCAGATGGGCCTACCGACTCTACACGCTCCTTTTCATCGTTGGCCAGATCATGACCATCTTCGCACTTGATATGGGGACTCTCATTGGTGCGCGTATCGTCACTGGTATGGGCATTGGTTCCCTCAGTGTTATTGGACCCATGAGCATCGTCGAAATATCTCCCAAGGAGATTCGTGGTCTTCTGACTTCCTGGTACACTGTGTCCATGGGTGTTGCCTTGACTGTTGCCAATTTCTGTGTCCTCGGTGTCTACAAGCATGTGCCAGTAGGCAAGTTGCAGTATCAGATCCCACCAATTGCAATCTCTTCATTCATGTTTCTCTGCATTGCCGCTAGTTTTCTCGTCTCGGAATCGCCCAGGTGGCTCATCATGGTCGGGCGCAAAGAAGAAGCTATTGAAACTCTTACTAGCCTACGTTGTCTGCCTGCAGACGACGAGCGAGTTGTCCAGGAGGTAGCGGACATAGAATCTTCCATCACCTCAGCTCAGGGCGACATCGGGGGCAGGTCCAACTTGTGGGTGATTGCCAAGGAGACCTTCACTGTCAGCTCCAACCTCCGTCGTCTCCAGCAGGTCTTGGTCTCATACGCGCTGGCCCAGCTCTCGGGTGCAAACTCGGTTACGAGCTACTTTATCCCAATCATGAAGCTCTTGGGAGACAAGGCTGATACCGAACGAAGTATCTTTCTTAGTGCCATGTATGGTTTCTCGAAGCTTTGCTTCAGTTTGATCGCTTCATTTTTCTTTATCGATATCCTTGGACGCCGCCGTTCCCTCTTCATAGGCATTACGGCCCAACTTCTCTCTCACATTTACATTGGCGTCTTTATCAAGTTTCAGCAAGAGGGTGAAACCTCGACCGCTGCTGGTCAGACTGCGCTCGCAGCTCTTTATATCCACGCGTTTGGATATGCGGTTGGTAAGAGCAGTTCTACACATTCTTCGAATGTCTCTATTCTTCGAAACCCATTTTAATTTGTCCTAGGTCTTTTCATATTGCCATACGTCTTTGGTGGCGAGCTTTGGCCCAACAGAATTCGCTCCTTTGGTGGAGCGGTAGGCCAGACCTTCCATTGGCTATTCATCTATGTCGTCAAGTTCTCCATTCCGTCCTTGTTAGAATCTACAAACAACTGGGGCGCTTTCCTCTTCTTCGCTGGATGGTGCTTCTTGGGCCTAATCTACGTTTACCTCTTGGTGCCAGAGATTGCAGGTTTGAGTGTCGAAGAAGTCGACAGAATCTTTGAAGGCTCGTGGCTAAATGCTATCAAGCTGAGCAAGAAGAGCCGCATCGGGGTCATCGAGGCTGTAGAAGATGGCAGAGCGGGTGGCGATGACGGAAAGCTCAGGTAAGCACTTGCATACCTCATGCAGATATCATCGTGCTAACAATGCTTCAGTGATGATCAGGTACAAGTCATAAAGCTCTGATTGGGTCAGCTTTTATGCGGGTTGAGAGTAAAGCGGAGGATGTAAATCGTGCTGGCGCTTATCCTGCCTGTATTCAAAACATGCGTCCTATTATGATATTCATAAGATAGGTCATTCCATCACTACGTAATTTCATTGCATAATATAATTATGCCACAGTCGTTTTATGCCCATGCAAGGATGTTTCTATTCATCCACAGAGCAGGAGAAGAAGAATGAACAAGGTGTTGTATCCTCATCTTTACCTTGACCAGATAGTAAACATTGAGAGTAATTTGGATGCATGGGTCAGACGTCACACGGGGAAATTTGATACATGTGGGTTTTTAACTCATCCCCTATCTTAGCAAGTTAGGAATACAAGTTCGTTTCTCGGTAGATCGGCCATTAAGGAGCAGCTGATAAACCCCGTGGAAAAATCTACATCCTTTTGCTCGGAACATGGCCAATCAAGTTGCCGAAAGCATTTAGAATCATGTCCGAATAGTGTTGATGTTTTAACTAGGATGGGAGCTATAGCCAACTTCATCAAGGTCTTAATATCCTTCTCTTTTAGTGGAAACACTACGCATAGCTGTAACTTGTAATCAAATAAGGAAGGGTGGATTTAATAACCCTATAGTCTGCAGATTATTAATTCAAGAACACCTTTGCCCAGCTAAACCTCCTTGTTGTCTCATTCGTAGTCTTTTCACCAAATTGTTAAGAGCTCCCAATGATCTCTACCACACGGTAATGAAAGAAGCTCCCACTTCATAAAACCATCAATATAACACTCACCCACAAGATAATATCCGCCTTGTCTTGCTGCTCGCAATATGAAGGGAACTGATACACCCGCAAATAAGCAGCATATATCACCATGCTGAGTAGCTAATGGACCAAGCCCTAAGTTGCCAGAACTGGTACGAAAGAGTCGCCTGTTATGGGCATGCTTGAGATGAAATGCGTAGTCCAACCCTTCGTAATGGTCTTTTGGGCCAGGTAGCCCTAGCTCTAAGGGTGCAGCATGACGGACAATATCCAGGTAGTCCTCATAGTACTCTCGAGTTCTTCTCATATCAGAAGGGTCTTCGAGCTGCCATGGAGCAAATCCTACAGCTAATACGGATGGAAATTTATCCAGCAGGCTCTTCTCGGGATGCGGCCAGTTATTTCTCGCTTCCTGATAAAGAACGTCAATGAACGGAACTCTGTTGGAGGAGAATGCAGTGTCCCATCCAGTGCAATCAATCGATAGGTTATGGTCAAGAATAGGCTGTGATACCCATGATACCTCATCAAATGTCAGGGCACGTACAGACAGTGACTTGGAGGAGTTTACTTCAATCTGGAGTGTCGATGGGGGACCACCGGCGGAAAACCAATATTGCGGGTTGCCGAGAGGAGCCGGCGAACCATCTTGGCCCCAACGAGGCACCCAGGAAGGAAGATCATTGGAAATATGTATTTCACTTCCCGAGACATGATGGGTGTGAGATAATACATAGGGTGCCTCGGAAGATTGCCCAAGTAGTGTACAGGCAGCATGAAAATAGACGTCTCGCCAGGGTTTGCTATAGTCTGGCGTGATCATCATCTGACCATCTTCTGCTATTGCCAGCGGATTTCCCAGGAAGCCATAGATATAATCTCTGCGGTCTGTAGCCTTTAATCTCCTCCCGGCAGCGAGGACGTTGACAAACGCAGTTGGGATATTGCGGATCGCATTTGCTCGGTATGCCGCCAGCGGCTTACTTCGCCGCCATGTCTGGACGTTGCGGAACCGACACTGCACGTACTCGAAACAGTCCACCGAGGCAATATCGTTGACGGACCCGGAGCGACTTCTTATATCTGGTCGCATTGCGAGCCACAACTGCAGCTCTACGTATTCGGCAAATGGCATCTTGGCCTCACCCCAATGAAGGATGCACCGTTTCGCCATTCCCGTTTCTTGCACGACCCATAGCCTGCAGAACCAAGGAAGTGTGGATAGCATTTTGAGCTTCTCCCACCGCGCACGGTCATTCTCAATGGAGGTAGAGTTGCCGAGAAACGGGAGGTTTCCCCAGTGGCCGTATCTCTGTAAGAGTCTCCCAAGGTAGTTGTTGGTTTCAGATATTAATTTAAAGCAATCTTCCGCCACGTTTGCAGTGTCCTGTCCGAGGCAGACAAGTACGCTCTTCGCACCTTGGTACACGTGGCCCATTTTCTGCACCTGTTGGTTTCGTTCCTCGACATCTTGTTGGTTTATACAAATGGCGTCTGCCCAGAGTTGCCTCGGTTTTTCTCTGTATCGGAGTTGGCCGAGAGCTTTCGCTAGGTTCGCTGTAACTCTGAGGGGTGTTTTATTACATTCGATATCGACGAGGTCTGTTGGATCCCCCCACACGTAAGAGATTGCTTCATATTTATCGGCGGCGGCGGCTAAGGAAGTCGTTTTCAGAGTGCAGCGTAAAGGATCGTCCTTATCACCAGGTTCTAAGTCGATAAGACGTACTGAATCTCCGCTTAATTCATCCCCATACACCTCAGAAAGAAGCCAGCTGTCCATAATTCTCTTCAGTCTCCTAAACCATGCCCTGAAGCGTACTGGCACAAGAAAAGATGCCTGTCAGGGTCAAGGTCTAGGCAATAGTCAAGAAACTTAAATGTAGCAATGTGATCTAGTCAGCTTCTGTTGTGGCGTTTAATATTATGAATCATCATGCGACTTGGATTTAGGAATGAGGGATTATTGGCAAACGCTTTTCAGAGAGACTAGTCTAAGTCTGGCAACTTAGCTAATCTTAGAGTGTAAGCTCACTTAATGAAAGTGCCTAGTTTAAACCTAGGGTAGGAAACCTCTCTGGGAGGTTTTAACCCATTACTTAATAATAACTATTAGTTAACAGGGACAATAATATTAAATAATGATATTATTACTTAAAGAGGTAGTTATACTTAGTAGTAATTAATTTTTTTATCTTAAAAGCTATACCTAAGTTATATATTAGCTCACCTTTGATAGAAACTTTTTAATATACTAAATTATTCGCTTCAGAGTATTCCCTTCTTCCCCATTCGTTTGATTTATGTTTTAGAAATTAGCAAATGCCCCGACCGACAAAGGAGCCTATCTTTACAGTTGCCTGCTCCCACGTCTTTCCTGTAACTACATAACATATCCCTAAACATAAAGTTTCCTCAAGCAAACTCCTTAAGTAGGCGGTCCACATTTGACACCATGTTGCTTCCACAAGCCCACCCAGCCCAAGATCTATCGTTACTAGTCTGGCCTACAGCAAGGACGCCCCAGATATATCTACCACTATCGAGAGTCTCCCAGAATGGGCCGCCGGACTGGCCACCGGAAAGGTCAGTATCAGTCCAAAATGGGCCATTTCCATCACAGCTCCATTCCTTGTCCAAAAGTTTGTTGTTATTCTGGCGGTATGGCCTCATCGTGTTGTCCTTATCCCCAGGGTAGCCCATGTGGTCGAAGCCGACTTGCCCAATCTTAGACTTGTCTGGGGTCTTAACACCAAAGTAGCCTCGCTCGTCGCCTAGACGCTTGTTGATGATGATGACAGCCCAATCTCCCTTATGGCGACAGTCGCCCGTCGCTTCGTCGCTAATGCTAATAACGTGTGTTACATCGCCATAGCCCAGCTTCGCCGTCTGGTCAAAACCAGGAGCAAACTTTCCGCTTACGCCACTCTTGATGCAGTGCTTGGCAGTCAAGACATGGCGAGGACCGACTAATGCACCGGAACATATGGCCCCATTGGACCAGTACAGTCTACCAACCGATGCGTATGGAAAGGAGGTGCTTGGGAAGAGAACACGATCATCCGGTCCCTCAATATAATCGCGTTTCTCTGTCTGTCCGCTATATGGTGAGCCTGGGGGGATATACGGCTCAATCTTGGAGAGGGTCTCGTTGAAGAACTGGTCTCTGCTCAATTTGATGACCTCTGGAATAATAGCATCGGCCGAAAAGAGTTGGACATGCGAATCGTCGTAATATGTCAAGTCTGAGATAGTTTGAATGTTGTTCTCATTTTCGGGAATGGGGTTGGCAGAGATATGAAGCAGAAGGTAGGCGAAAGTAGCCGCCGAGAAGAGGAAGTTGACCATTTTGAAAGCGCTTCGAAACTCTATCTTGATGACAGTGACTACTCGTGGCTTTTCCTGGTTGTTCGAAGGTTGAGCTATGACGGGAATCAGCGGTTCATTATATAGTAGTCGAGGTATTGTCAAGGTCTTGTTTTCTCCCTCATTTCTCACCAGTATGGCATACTTTGCATCAATTTGAGAGAGAATCGTGGCCAAAAAAGACCTTTCGACGCAAGGTGGAGGTGTGCCAAGTCTTAATCAAACCAAATGCAACGCTCCCGCATCCCGGAACAAACTAGATTAAGACAAACTGTGGCCATCCGTTGCATCCCCCAAGCTGCGTGTAACCCCTAGCCCAACTTGGCATGCTTTGAAATAATACGAGTCCTGGTTTACTGTAGGGGCAAATGAACTTTGGTGCTGGCAATTCATTCCATTTTACTAAGGGAATGCCCAGCCACATGATCCTACGAATTGCCTGACCAAAACCCTCAGGGGCATGAGAAGCTCTCTTTGTTTTCCACTGACCAATTGGTTATTGTATTTGTTGAACAGGTGATTAATAGTAATGCTTTCTGGAATTGCCCGATACAACAGCAATAGAACTACCTGCCGGATTCGCTCACCAAATCATACCCAACTCTTAGCAACAGCATGTAGACAAAAAGAAGCTGTATAGGTCGTGAATTCAAGCGATATAGATAAAAGCATCGGATCTGAACGTGTAATAGGTCGCTATAGACCCAAGCGAGGAAGATATTTTGTACTATATTTACCCAAGTGAGCTGTTAAGTAATTTTAGACTTATTAATGGTTTAGTTAGGTCCCACTCGATAAATGAATCCTCTGCGGCAAAGTCAACTCGGCTACTGTCAAATACAGCAATGAGTGCTGCACTTTTTAATCCCTGCTACTTTCAATTATCACGAAGGGAAAATGCGGCGTCGGCTGAACAGGGTTATACACCCACGCCATCAATCCTATATGCGTTACTCTGAAGAAGATGCCCGCCAAATTGCATGCCGTCGAGCAGTTGCCGTGCCTAATCGCACATCTAGTGTCGATACTGGTTCGCTTGAGGTTTGATTTGCAATGACTGAGATCTTAGGCCTGACGTTACTGCAATTGGTCTTTAAGTAGAATCACTGCCAGGATGGACAGCAAGATGAAAACAAGTGCCCATGACGAGGAGCTTCTGAGACGCGATCGCGTCAACTCGTCCAGATCTTAGTGACAGACATATGGAAGTATCGTGTTTTCCGACCGAATTCCTGGGCAGGTAATCCACTAAAGGGCGCGCATTTACAGCTATGTCAGGCGTAATAAAGTCTTGGATTGAAAGAATTATCCCATAATGGATTGTTTGACATAGATTATAACGGGCTGAAGTCTGCTGAGATAATTGATTACCTGACTGGCTTGAAGTGGCAAAAGATTGGTTTGAGACGATTGAGATGGTTGATTCAAGTGTCACCTGACACGAATTCGTGTTACACCTGACATCATATGGCGGCAGACATAAGATTGCTGACCCCAGCAATAAATATTATCAACCTAGCACGACCCCAGTTTGGGCTGCTGCCTGTATTGTTTATTTCGGAAAAACACCATTGCTGCTCAGACATGATGCCACAAGTCATAATGGATGGAAACGATGGGCATCTCCTAACAGACACGGACCATGATGTCGTCAAATCGATCAGCAGCCGTTGGTTTATCGATGGCTTTTGGGCTGACCCCGCAACGGATACAGAAATTGAGCAAGAAAAACTGGCAATCTTGGGGATGAGCAATGAGGCCCTGCTCAGCCATTATCGGGAAACCGCTGCAAAATCGCGCTCATTTGAGGACAGCAGTCACTGGGTGTTCTGGGCGTTCTTCACTGGGGAACAGACGCTCGCTAGATTCCGAAATGACGATACGGTTAAGGCCGAGATCTTGACGGCCATGAGCGATGCTTATTATTTACGGTCGCGACATGTGATATCGAATGGTGTAGAACATTCACAAAAGCTGCTGGAATATGCCGTCAGCTTGCGGGAGATAGCTTTAGAAATGCCGCAATTGCGCGAGCCAACTGTCAGAGCGCGGGAGCTAAGGAAGCTCGCCGAAATACACTCTGAGAGACTCTTCAGAGGGGGACTCGAGGAGCCCCTGAATGTCATCAACATGGCAACTGCTTGTTTGGAAGAGGCCGCCAATTTAGTAGCAGAAGAAGAAGGGGGAAGACTGCGCGCGGCATGTCGTACGCTCAGATTTATGGGCGGTGATATTGGAGCCATCGATTGTGCTCTCGAGATTCCCATTGACCAGATTGTGGAACGGCCCGTATCCATGGATTCGGCAACTCCGCGACGATTCCGATTCATTGACTGCCAAAGCCTTTGTAAAAAAGATGCCCTCCGCATGCTGGAGCTTTCCCACTTACCAGAGTCATACTATATGGCTATATCGTACGTCTGGCAAGGAGACTTGCGCGCGGATGCTTCTCCCAGCCCTGGTCCCTTCATGAGGATCAAAAATGCTGCCAACGCGGATCCCATATCGATCGATGTGCTGCGGATCGCGTGCAATGCCGCGCTGACACTCAACTGCCCTCTTCTCTGGTTTGATGGGATGTGCATCATGCAAGGGAACGATTATGATAAGGACTGGCAGATTCAGAACATGTTCAAGGTCTACAGCCTGTGCAAGACGTGCTTGATCATCCCCGGAGGATTGTCAAGACTTGTTGCCATTGACGAGGAGACGAGGTGGGGTCACCGCGCGTGGACTCTACAGGAGGCCATCGCTCCGCCATCGTGCCATTGCCTCTTCTCTTGGCCGCACGGCGATTGCGTGCTGCAAACGGTGAGCTTTGCTCAAGTTCACGAGGTGGAGCCAGGGAGGGCTGCTGTCTCTGAGATGAGACGCCTGTTAAATATAACACATCGGAAGTGTGATATATTACAGCCCAGAACGGGGGGGAACCTCGGCCAAGTTACGATCCGACTACTGGGTAATGAAATTGAGGACAAGGATAGCTTTTCACTGAATGCTCTAATCGGCGCCCTTGACCGGAAGGGTAGGGAGGGCATGGGCAACGCGGTCTGGAGGGCAGCCTTGGCACGATTCTCATCACGGCCAGTTGACTTTGCCTTGAGTATCATGGGTATCTTCGGCATAACTCTCGATCCGTCTCGATTTGCACCCAATGACAAAATAGGTGCAACTGTTGCACTAATGCAAGCAATGATTGTCGAGGGACAGAGGCCGGAGTGGCTAGGGATAATGGAGGAGCTACGTCCGGGCCAGCATTTGACAATGCTTCCTGAGTTCCCGCAGCCAGATGCGTATGGAAGGGCCGCGTTTGGGAAAACTCTTGGGTGTTCGAGTTGGTGGATCAAGGATATCCCCCCTGGCTTGAGGATGGATGATGCCGGATATCTACATATCTCGGCATCATGTTTGCCAATTCAATCGGTCCGACCTGGGAGTGACGATATAATATTTGAAAACACCAATGGGCAGTGGGCTCAGTCGTCGAAGAAAAGCCCACAGATCTATGCGCTTCGGCTAGGGGAGAAGTGCTTTTACACAGCCATCAAATTCCCCCCTCGGGTCATTTTTGACAAGTATTTAATTCTTCTTGCCCAAGAAGCCAAAGAGGGGAAGTTTAATTGTACTGGATACGCCTCTGTAGAGGAAAAGGTCATCAACTTGGAGGGCTGGGAAAATCTAACACTTGTAATCAGATAGATTCAATAAGTTTATCATATATAAGAAAGTTAAAGACACAATGAAGCCGGGAGTAATATGTTTTTAAGCCACGAAGAGCGAGTAGTATCCCTATCTAAGACTAGGTAGGCAGAAGCATGTTCTCACCTTCTGATCCCCGTTGAGTTACCATCCAAAAGACTCACAATGAACATCGATGCTTGGACCCTCTGGTGTCATATATTGGGTCGCAGCGGCCGAGACGGCTGCCATGAGAGACTTGGGCCCACAAGATGCAATCAAAACACGGCTGTCACGTCCAGCTGCTTGGATTGACTCATGGATCATCGCTTCCGCTCTCAACTTTTCATACTTAAGACCATGCATGTTGTTTAGTTCCATCATATTGGCTGACCTCATGTTGCTTTGCGTCTCTCTATCGGCTGGTACTGGCTTTTCGTCGGTCTCGAAGGGACACCCAGCCTCTGAATGGCGTTTCTCTGTGATCTCAGACGTCGTTGTAGTATGAGGTGATGGATTGAGGATGGAACTGAGATTCTCATCAGATGACGCTTGCGCATTGTCAGTAGTGACGTGTAGGCTCAGAGACACATGTGATGCATGACTTCTAAGATTTTCCAATTGCTCTGAGAACCAAGCCAGATTTTCTGCGTATTGTTCTTGTCAGAAAATGCTTTCAAGAAAGATGAGACCAACCGTACCTTTTGTCTTCACTGCCCAAATAAAGTCGACAAATTGAGTCGAATCAGGTCCAAGAGACTCTAGAATTGTGCAGGCCAAGCCCATTGTAAAAGTGGCACCGCTCCCTCCAGCAATGAGAACAATTCTATCATAACACGCGAGATCTGGAAAGGATCCATATGGCCCATCGAAAGAAACTCGCACACTAGCACCTGGTTTTGAGACCGCATACTCATAAGCTGCTTTGGTGAAGCCACTGTGAGACTTCATAATGAGCTCAAGACCAGAGCTTGTGTTGGCTACTATAGTGAAAGGATGCGTCTCGAATGGCCGGATACTCGGGATCCAGACGAAGCAATGCGAGCCAGGGGCCGCCCAAGCAAGCTGTTTTGTCGATATCAGCTTCACGCCGCCATTTGGCAAAGCATGAAGCGTGGCTCTGTTATCAGCAAAATTGAACACTAGTCTCCATGCCCTGATCAAACGGTCGATGACCCAGATGAAGGCGGCAAATAGACTTGCAATACAGATCTTCTCTACCCAATAAGGTCGGTGAAGTCCCACGAAAACAAGTGTCAGGATGCAGCCGATGATGTGGCTTATGTAGAAGACCTCGTACCCAAAACGTCTAAGGCACCCCATCATAAGAACCAACATGGCAAATCCCGCAGCGATTCCTTCCCAGTTCTCAGGCTCCAGTAGTTTGGACCAGGTTTGATGCATGTCCTCCCACTTCATGTAGCATATGCCGTGGAAAACCATCTGAGCAACGGCAGTGTAACCGACGATGCGATGTAAAAGGTTCAGTCCATCGTAGGAGAGCGGACTGAGCAGAGCCAGTGGCGTGTTTTTTAAGCCAAAGAAAACGGCCAACGCGATATTACCCATGGACATCCTGTAATGGGCAATGTCAATAGTTGACTTGTCTTCAGAGTTTACAACACATACCATCCGAATCTAGCAGCAAAATTGCTTGGCTTATCAAACTCTAGATTAACGAAGCAAAAGATGAGGTTGATGGCGCAATACAGGAAGATGACTATAGCATGGCCGACAGAAGGGAACCCAGGGAAAGGGCGGAGTGAGAGGGCTTTGGTATTTCTTGATTCTGTTAGTTGAATCTTAATTGGAGACATCTTTACATACCGAGTAAGTTTTCTAAAAATCCAAGACATGGGTATTCTCCGTGATTTGCGTAACGAGAAATACTTTCTGCTTAAGAATTGCATCCAATGTAGAAGAATGAAAAAGACCATTATGCCTGCAATCACACCTGCATAGATCTTAATATTCAACTCGTTCATGAGCTGCCTCTCATTGGGGGCTTTTGCCCCCGTGGCCCTTTTCTCAAGCATTTTGAAGGCAACAATGAATTTAGATCGGCAGAAATTCGCAGGTGTGTGGTTAAACCGTAACAGAAAGCAGCCTAAGCGGAGGTTTCCGTATATATAGAAAAATATAAAATGAGAGAACAGGAAGAGCCTACTGAAAAAAGGAAGACCCAATGAAATTTTCGACCATGTTCAGAAGACTTACCTGGAAGCTTGATTGCAAAATCTTTTCTGAGGATCATTTCGGAGTCCGAGTCAATGGTACGTGGATCGTCTCATTTTCGATAATACTAACACCACAATGGTTGATTCTGATCTTTGGAACTCAATACACCTACGCAGCCTCTTGGGTCCGTCCACAGGGCCGTTTCAGCTCAATGGATCAGCCACTAGCTTCTCAGCTCCGACTGCGGATTATAATCCCTCAATAGAGGCATGAATCTAATCAGATCAATCCATTAGATAAGATCCGCCATCCAAACCAGAAGGCACTAAGATCCGGTTCTGCCCTCGGAGTACGAGTGCAACTCGGAGCAGTGTGGATGAACCAGGCTTGCAAAATTTGGCCGCTGAAGAGTCAACTGGAGTAAACGTAGGCTGGTTCAAAACATTCGCAATCTAATAGGCTCTTGGGAAAAGAAGACATGAAAAAGGGATGCCGAGTTTCCCGCAAGTGGATTACATCGTCCGAGCATGGTCGTAAGCCGAGCATGCAGGTCAGGCAGAACTAATACGATAGTTGCAACCTGAGTAAATGTAGACGGATTGATAACCGAGAGATGTGGATCAACAAGTGGCATCAAAAGCGGAACAGCCTAGTACTAAGAATAATTTTACCGCTTTATGGGTTTCGAATCTGTGCCGAACTCCCGGAGCTAGGGAGTGATGGTTGAGTTGAGCGAGACGGGATGGCACTCGACTTGTTGAGAGTTGGCAGCCCTTATCAAAACAATAAGCTTGCTATACTCTCACTCGATGATTTGGCTTTTTTAAACCAAGGCAACTATTTAATATGCAGGAGACAGCGAAGAGAACGCCATCAAATGTACGAGCAATCGTCAATACAGGACTTGAGGTGGCTCAAGCCTCGATGAGCATAGTTGAGGATGATCCCTGTCTTTGTCAAGTACCAGATTGATAACTCGACGTTGACCCGTTTCTAGCCAAAGAATGGCGGCCCATTCGTCACTCTCAAAAATGACGCTAAATGCACTGGTACATAGCATCGGACATCCGACTAGAACCGAAGATCCACTCGTTGCCGTGAGTGGGAGACTTGGTTTGAGCTCGTCTTACGGCGGGATACTGCAAAAATCAATGCCATGACCCACCCTACCGTCTCGGTTGTCACCTTTTCAGTAGCTTTGAAACTGGGGATATGGTGGAGGCAGTGACAGCTTCCATACAAATAAACAATCACCCCACTCGCAGACCGAACCATACATCCAGCGGTTAGGGTTTATGAGGTTTGGAGGTTAAGCCGTTGGACCGAGAGTTGCATCAGTACACAATTGGGCAACCACTCCTACTGCCGTACAACGAGAAAGACCTGAAACTTTTTATATCTGATTACCCTTGTGGAACGCTTCTCACAAAAGGCATAGACTCTAAACATTACATGTTCTTCAGTTGCAACATGTCACTTAATACGTCTTTACTGGACTCTTCGTGTCTGTACCGTTCTTACGTTGACCTTGACGGTTGTCTTGATACTATTTGTTGCCATCACCGTATTCGGATTATGTATGGCTTCAACATGGTAGATGTATGTCATCACTGGCTACACATTGACAGCTAAGCTAACACGACAACTCTGCGATTACTGATATTACCCCAGGTGCTTTGCGGTTAGCCAACAGATATGTACACGGGCACCTAGTAACTCATAATGATTCAGTCAGCAAGGGTTTATGTACATATTTCCCTTTTGAGCAGGCAGTGAACTGATTTGAAGGAGGCCCGAGCTGCGGATCCTGGCTCGAAGAATATTGTTCAAAAAGAATAGACAGAACAACAAGCATTCTATTCCTGATATTCATGACTTTCGCTCCTCTTTAATATTTATCTAGCAGTCAATCATCAAAATCTACCAATTTTCATCGACTCAACAATCATGTCATTTGATATCTTTCTTCGATATCCATTACACAAATAGAAACAATCTCATGATGGCTTCGCTCGAGAACCACGAGCCTAACTGGCATGGTGATCTTCGCACACCATTCATCGGCGGCAAATACATTGACCCCAAGTCTGGGGCACTGCAAACAATGATAGACTACGTTAAAGAACATGACAGACCTAACTTTTATCTAGGCCCACCTACTGTTGATATCGTCGTCCAGAACATTCATGCAGCTTTGGTAGGATGTATCTATCGTGCAGCAGGACCTTCCCCATAGAGGCTCTTATTTAAGAGACTGAAGTTGGCAAAAGAGAGAAAACTCGATATTGATTCGGTTATGGCCGCACACTATGTGATTTGGGTCAGTCTTTGCCATGAGTTGACGAAAGATGAATTTGCACAAATTCCCGCCCGAATGGCCAACAGTCTTTGGGATGAAAATCAGTAATGCTGAAAAGTCTATTCTACTTCCACCAGAGGTGATTGATGCGTGAGAGATGGTATCTCTCAATAGAAAATCCTCAAGGTTTACCATTGCCTTCAATCCCTATTTGTTCACGAAGTAGGAAGACTAGCATTCTTTTCAAGATTTTTATACAAGTACCTTCCACTACCTAAGTTGAAGAGACATTGCCTTATTCTTCTTATCGACTTGTGTAATCAAAGAGAAAGGGCATGTTAGCTCTGATAGAAGAGCAAAGAGATTTAGAATTGAATTGAACCACTTGCCTTGATAAATGGAGTCATTGGTAAACTGCAGGAGAGTTGAGATACCCCGTTCACATAACTGATTGCCAAAAACCATTTTCCTATGGAAGAATTCGCGCGAGCCAATCATCTATTATTTTCATCCTTTATTACTTAGCGCATGTTCTCTCATTACATCAGTGAGATCTTCTCAACCTCTTCAATTGACCATAATCCTCAAAATAGGCCCTGACCCTAGGAAACAGCGAACAAAAATCACTAATTTTCACCATAATTCTTTCACCCATTGTAGAGCACCTCCCAGTTCGACATTCTCTGGATAAGTCGTTCTCAGCTTGGAATTCGTCGCTCATGCGTACCCCTCCTACACAATAAACACTAACTAAATCTCAGCTAGGTCATACGTGTCTTCTCGAAGTTGTGGCAGGGTTGTATTTAATCGTATAAAGAAAACTTGGGCACCGCGGCCTTCATCTCTTCAGAATCATCATGATTCAAGATATCCCAAAGACAATGAGAAACGGTATCGCCGGTGGTATAATCGCTTAGGGTGGGTTCTTTCGGCGGCTGGGCGCTCTCGTCCTGGGTGCATTTCTGCAATTTCTTCTCATACGTCTTGTGAGCGGCGATGTAGTCAGAAATCACATCAACGTCGATGCAGCCACGGTGCTCGTACCACTTTCGAACGAGCAGCCCCCATTCACCGTTGTAGAGTCGAAATTTGTTTGAAGGAATGAGGTCTTCGGGGTAAACCATCGAGCTGAAGCAGATGACGTGGTAGTAGTGTTTTGTCAACTCCCCATCACCAAATGGGGCCATGTCAGTGCCAAATACGCAAATTCGAAATTCATCCTTGATTTGCTGTGTCTGAGGCCCAAGGGGCTTGACATGAAGACAGTCGCGCCCAGCACGGCATTTGGCACGACCAGAAAGAGATACCTCCACATACACAAACGCCTCGGGTGTCTTGGTGATTTCATCGAAAAGCCTCTCGCCTTTGGTCTTGGTCGCGGCTTTCTTCTTGGGGCGCTCGTCGCTAGCCTTTGGGGCGTCGAGGCCCTGGTTCTCGGCGGGAGCGTGTTCGTCTGGGGCTGGTCGTTTTCCCATGTTGACAGATGAGGGCTCCGGGATTTCGTCCGAAGCCATGAGGACGATTGGGGAGTTTGGTGGATTTTTCGGGTGGAAAGACGGGCTTAGAGAGACGGGAAGAAGTGAGTGCACCAGTAGGCGTGGAACTAGAAATCTTCAAGACTGAAGACTGAATATGTGCAGCGTACGGATGGATCACAGGTGAACTTTGCGTGAACGAAATCCAACAGGGAATTTGGCAGAATGCTGAGGAAGAGTTGAGTTCTGCCTGAGGAGGGTGTTGGCCCGAGAAATTAGGCGTCATCGGGGGAGAATTGAAGATGGAGTCACGTGCCCCGAAACTGTCCCTCTACATTGTTCTCCCAGACTTGTTGGCGTACTTGGGTTTAGGGTACGGAAGAGAGTTCGGGTATAAAGTTGAAAACAGGAATGAAAGATGCCAGGCCCAACATCTCAACATAATGATAGGGTTAGGATACATTGACGGGGTAATGGAATTCCTAAATACATATCATGTACGAAGCCATCTTGGAAGTCGTAATTTTAGCCTCTTTTTGAAAAGTAGATTAGGTCAGGCATCTCTTTTGTGTACAGAGAATATCGAGTTGCATAAATCATATCTTCATGTTAAAGACCTTCCTTGTCATCAGGTTTCGATCCTAAGCAGTTTGAATGGACTAGTCCACTTGGCTCCAGACATGGCCATGATCACAGTAGGATTCTCTATAAGGTGGGACTGAGGTATGGATTAATTAGTTTCCCAGATGCCACTCCCTATAATAATACTTTGAAGCACATAATAGAAACTTTGGCTTAAACAATGTATAAGATAATAGTTGAATGAGCCCGCCTTGAGAAATAAAATTCAGGTAGCTTTCTAGGTTTTCTAATTCGATGTACTAAACTGCTTAAGTTACTACTTATCTTAGCGAGTAAGCATACCCTGAGTAGCGTCAACAATATATTTGAGGTACTTGTGGTCAAGGTAACCAACTTTGAGAAGATGGGCCATTTGACAGTCAACTCAAACTTAAAAAACCTTTTCAAGAGCCCTGCCGAACTTAGAAGGAGGGTCGTTCTCCCGTTCCTGGCGGTAGTGATCATCCAAAGCCTCGAAGAACTCCAGACCGCTGCGAAGGTCAACATCCTTAGACTTGTGCCACGCCGTGCGCTTGAAGATCTTCCAGAAAATAGCGATGACAGTAGCCAGTCCGATCTGAAATAGACGATATAATCAGTACAGCTCAAGACACAAATTACTGGGGCCAAACTTACAATGCCATAGTTGAAGATAAATGTAGCGACATCCCACTTGCCATCCAGGAACACGGCATAGCCTTGGACCCTGTAATTTTATATGTTAACCCAGAATTTGGTCAGACAAGAATTGTAACAAGTTTCCCAAATCCTTGTACACGCTCTTCACTTACCAGAGGAAGAAGAAGGACCAGAAAAATGCCCAGTACCCAGCATACGGCTGCAGTCGCGACACAACTGGTAGGAATGACTTCTTGTCGATGTTCTGGGCTTTCATCGCGTGGTGGAAGCGGATGTATGTGAATGACATGACGGCCCAGTTGAGCATAGTGGCTGCGGTACAGAAACTAGAGGAAATCTCATCAGTACTGAGTACCATAAAATTACAGAGGGGACGAACGTACTTCAAAATCCAGTTCAAAACCTTTGCAGTTCCTGAACTAAGTGCCAGATATGACAGACAGGCCAGAACCATGACAACGATAACGGCCATATAAGGAACACCACTATATCAAAGTTAGTGGCAAATTTTCGACTTGCGTATTCATTGGACATACTGTTTGTTCAGTTTCCGCAGGAACTTGGGTGCTTGTCCCTCGAGTGCCAGAGCGTGCAGGCTGCGAGAGGCGTTAAAAGTATATGCATTTCCAGCGGAGACGATGCTAGTAATGAGGGCAGCGGTAATGATGGAAGGCAGGACTGGAATCTTAAGCCTAACCGCTGCAATCACGCTATAAAGGGAACCGATATGTAAGTGTCATGATGTTTCAGCTTCATGTTTTGAGATTACTTACTAAGGTGAAGCGCCAGCGTACGTGTCAGCTCCTCCGGTCAGTCTGTGCTTTGTTAACTTATCAATCTTCTCAGAAAAGGGTGGCTAGAAACCCACGTCGTGTCATTATAAGGAACGAGAATCTGGATTGGATTTTCATTAGCTTGGTTTGCAATCGTTTCTTGAATTTAGCATGACTTACTCCAACAGCAAGCGCTCCTCCAATGAAGAAAAACACGAGACGGTACATGATTGTGTTGAAGGCTCGGGGAATTGTACGCCGAGGATCTTTGGCCTCTCCCGCAATCACTGTAGGCCCAATCTGTCAGATAATGGGTAGGATGGGCCCGGAAAGAGTGTTCTTACTCGAGATATACTCTGGACCAGCCATGACGAATCCAGCAACGTTGACACCATTGACGAAAGACATCAATTGCTCCCCGGCAGTGTCACCTTTCCACGGGCCGGGGTCTTTCCAGTGCCTGAATCCAAATCGGCTAGAAGCAACATTGAGTCAGATCATGCATTGATAAAATGTCTCCGTAGGAGCCAGGGACTCACTCGTTCAGGGGGTTTCCGCCCAGCATAGCAATGAAAGTGAATAGCAGCAGTCCAGTTGCCAACAAAATCTTGCCCAGAGCCAGCCAGACTAGATATTTCCTCATTATCAGCTAGTACTTGATCATACTGGCAAATTGCTACGACTTACATTCAACTTCCCCAAACAGGTCTGCACGATAGATGTTGATGGCCATGTAGAGGACTATGGAAATCGTGATGAGGATAGCTGGAGACTGGTCGTAACCCCAGACCTGGACAAGCGAATTGATGATTGTGCACTCGAAGATTACGTAGGATGTTTGAGCGAACTGAATAGATAATTTCTGTTAGCCGAGATATTGACGATGGAGGTACAGGAAACATAGACTCACAAAGTGATTCCAGCCAACAGCTACACCCAAGGCGGGGTCGACCATATGGCCTGCCAGACGAATGAATGAGCCATCGAGAGGATACTGGGTGACGATCTCGTATTCTGTTTCAGACTTCGTTAGAAACAACATCTCGAAATGTTTCATGATATATGTAGATCTCGTACGGCACTTGGCGACACTGAAGACGACAGTTGCCCAAAAAAGGAAGGCAAGAAGAAGGGCAAGAGGGCCACCGGTCAAACCAGATCCAATAGCAACGAACAAAGCTCTGTGTTGTCGTTATGTTAGAGACAATATCTCTGAGGTTGATCATGTATGAAGACTCACGCTCCAATTGAACCGGCAATACTGGTAAGTTGGATTTGTCGTCCATTCAGACGTCGATGATTGATTGCCAGTTTAAGGGCAGTCGCCTGGTCGACTGTACCGTCGTTGATGGAAGCACCTCGCTGTCATTAAAAGAGTGCATTAGCAACACGTGGTTATAAGAGTGAGACAGGCCAATCAAACTCACAACATCACTGTCTCCGTTTCTAATTGATTCTGAACAGTTAATGTCAGCCTCCTTCTTGAAGGCTTCAGGCTGAGCAGGGGCCATGGCTTGTTGCAGTATGGGAAGGCGATGTGAGAAGAGACAACTTGTTGCACCTGCGATGAGCTCCCGAAAAAGGAAAAATACCAAGGTGTAGGAACCTTTGGAGTTTTGTAGTACAACTGCCGCCTGGTGATTGGCCGCGACCAAGAGCTTCCCTGTTCCAACCCCGGACAACCTTATCATTGTACATATCCCCGCGAACTCCACCTGCGCTCCACACACACTCCTGATTGCATGCATTCTATCGTTGGCCATATCCACTAGCAATCCGTAGACGGAACGTTGGTCCGTGAGACGGAACTGCACTCCTAGAGAACTAGAACAAGACCTCGCTTATCAACCTATCTATATCTCCATCTACCATCACTCCACGCTAGAGACTCGGCAGCATGCAGGCCGCCCGCGTACGCACAACGTGAGGTTGATAATGACTTAAGATGGATCACCTTGACACCTTCACACACTATCTTGTATCTTGAGGTTTTAGCCGACAACTAGTAGCCCTTAGATGTCAGTAAAAGATAACCCAGAACTATGACGTGTGCACCCCGCATTCCCGGTCCGGCTTCTTTGTTCATTGATTCACATGGTCCAGCTGTTCTTTTCCGGACCATTGTTCCGTTGATCACTAGGGAAGCTGCAACTTGACGGTATCTTATTCCGTTAGCCAGAAGCCCGAGATCGGGCCTTAGGTCAATTTATCATCTATCTAAGACGGCGGGTTTCGCTGTATGATTCATATCAACAACACAACAAGTGATATCAAGTTCACAATCATCAACATCCAGCCATCTTCTGTGCCATATCCGTAATCGTTAATCAAATCTTTCAACCCACAATCACAATGGCGGTCCCCTCTTTAGTCACCATAGACTCCTCGGAACCTCTGGAGAAGATGTACGAGATTGTTGCTCGCGATGGGGGAGTAATCGTATCCAACTTCCTCACCCCGGAGCTGCTGAAGGAAGCCATGGACGGAAGTGCGTTTCCCCACACTTCTGGCAATAACACTCTCGTTTAGCTGTCACTGACTCGTGGCTCATTTCAGTCAACCGCGAATTTGCTGCGCGCAAGAAGATTTTTGAAGGGAACACATCGCACAGCGAGCTGGGTGCTGATTTCTTCCCAGAGGGTACACAACGTGTCTACGTACGTCTGACCTGAATTTTCGGAAGACAATGCATTCTCACCAAACATAGGGTCTCCTAGGAAAGATGCCCACGTTCATCAGCGGAGTCTTGCGCCTCAAGGTATGGCAAGGCATCATGGACAAGTTCTTGAGGTTAGCATGACCCATCTAGCGTTTACATGAGAGATCATGTATTAACAAGGAATGCAGTGATGAACGAAGCACAATTACAGGAGACAAGTACCTCCCACTCAAGAGCGGTTACATGCTTGCCACAACCGCCGGCCTCCGCTTAGAGCCTGGAGCCAAGCCTCAGCCTCTTCACCGTGTAGGTTTCTCCCCCAACATTTCAAGACAAAGAAAGAAAAGGGGGCTAATGCTATGTTCGATAGGATGAAATCAAATTTCAGAGCAACCCCGACCCCAACAACCCCCTCTTCACTCCCATGATCGGCTGTCTCATTGCTGGCTCTAGATGCACAAAAAAGAACGGGGTATGTTTTTAACTCGCTATCAATGACTTATCAAGTACTCACATCGCAAATTAGGCCACTCTGGTTATCCCTGGAAGCCACCTTTGGCCGGGTGACCGTTTCCCCAAGTTGGAAGAAGTTACATATGCTGAGATGGAGCCAGGCTCAGCCCTTTTCACTCTTGGATGTGAGTTTGAATTTTCATCAACGATTGGGCGTTACACTAAGAATTTATCCAGCGACATACCACGCAGCTGGCGAGAACAAGTGCGATCGTGGTGAAGTTGATTCAGTCCGCACGCTATTTGCTTGCTTTGGGTAAGTCCAATTCTGGATCGATTATACAACCTCTTTATTGTTGGCTGATTTTGTCTGTTTTTAGCCAAAGAGACTACTTCCGCCAGGACCAAGATGAGGTTCATTCCACTCCAATCTCCGTTATTCGCTCGCTTCCTGACGATATTCTTCGTCTTGCTGGTTTATGTACGTATCACCCAACCGATTTCTACTATTGCATAGATCAAAAGTTTCTGATGCATGGATACAGACAAGTCCGTTGGAGGCGTAGGATATGTTGCTGATCATCAAGATCCTGCCGAATTCTTACACGTTGATGAGTACGGGTCCGGAAGAATGGGTACCAAGACACAACAGGCGGCTACTACAATTTAATTATAACGTATAACTTACTTCTTGTAGTTGAATCCACTTGAATGAATCCATTATATATCCACCGACTCAGTTGTCCGCCTGTGTCATCTAAAGAGGCCAAGACTTCGGCTCTGGAGTGATTTTGGCTCACCATCATACCACTCGCAATATATCCAAAGTCTCACGATCCTTATCATATAACTCATTACCATGGACATTGTCTCCTGTTTAAGACACGCGTCATTCGCTGCCTGGCCACCAATGATAACATGCCCAATGTCAGCTATCCACCACACGGATCAAGTGTCCGGATCCTTGTTCCTAGGCGGGACTTTTATGGAGTTTGCCCAGCCCCAGAAAGTCACACGAGCGATTGCCAATCATCTTATCGTACTAGTATTATTAGTTTCGGGTGGCATTATCCGTAACCCTTGGCGCATTCAGTTATCACATGTGTACCGGGTTACTGTTCATTCTTCATACACAATAAGCAGTTGCAGAGTGTCATCGAGAAGTCAAGTTGCCCGGCTTGACAAAGGGACTTCTACTTTGAATTCACACTCCTTATCTTTTGCTATGACTCTTTGAAAATTAGATTAATTTCATCATTAACCATCCACCGACTCAATGTGAATAAATCCCGTTTATTGACTTGACGTAGAAGCCACATCCTCTACGTCTAACCGGTCAGCCAAGTCCAAAATCTCCTGCGGCAAAAGCCCAGACACTCCGTTAGAAGTAATTGTATGCCAGAACGGATCTCGAAAGATATCATCCGTTGAAAAGTTCTGTTCCTGTAAATAACCTGCTCGCGGAGCGAGACCCCAAGATTGCTCGGCGCTGGGTATCAGAGCAGCCATGGCATTTTCCAGTTGTTGTAGTTCCAGTTTCCGCACTGGTGCGACTACGCTCCCTGATGCAATCATCCGATCGAAGATGTATTCTATGTCATGAGACCAAGACTGATCTTGTAGAAGCGATGGGCTGATCAGTTTAATGAGATGAAGGATGAACGCTGAAGAATACGCTGCGTCAAGTTGAAAGGGTAAGAAGGCGTCTAAGCAACTTGTCAGATTCTCAATAACCATGTCTGCAAAATAATCACGCGGCAATACCTAACAAGCCTTCCTCGTCTAGACTTCGAAGCATGTTTAAGATCGTATGGGCAGATTCGACGCATGAACTGAGGAGTGAGGCCACAGTCGATGTCAAAGGGACCACCGCTGGGGGGAAGGTATCTGAATTCTCGACATGCATCTGTAACGCACACATCACGAGCGGACGCGTAGATAGCACCACGCACTACAAAACATGTTAGTTCGGTTTAATGAGTAAGGCTAGTGTTAGAAAACTTACATGGTGATATGAAATGACCAGCCGATGTGCCATCCGTGAGGCTTTGCTAAAAGTACCGGGGAAATGAGTCCTGAGCACGTCGGTCAAGTCCCGAGATAATTCGGCCAGCTCACGGAGAATCGATTGCGTGTTTAGTATCAGTGTGTTATCGAACTGTCTTCCCACTCCATAAACCGCTGTAACACAGTCAACATATTAATCCACTCGAAGGTTGGAAAGAGGCAGGGGCAAGTTGGCCTACTAGACAAGATGCGTGCTGTCAATCTGGTTAGCCTCACATGCAGTTCCATGTTCACCGCGTCAACGGAACTATTCATCTGTGAAGGGGGCTTGGCCGTGATAGCCTCATCCTGCAGAGCGCTGGGGGCTCCGATGGAAGAGGAAAATTCCTTCTCCATAGTGTATATCGCCCAAAAAGCCACACATGCTCGTTTCGACTGCTTCGCCCCAACGATTTGTTCGGGCATATGGCGATGCATGCCCTCCATGATACAGGTACGCATCGCTTGGCTGATCTACCGGTGGTTGAGATGTCAATAGTCTCATGTCCACACCAGGGATCACGCTTTGGGAAACTCACATGGTAGTAAGCGGCGATTCTCATATCTACGGACTGGAACCACATAGAAGCTAGCGTCAAGGTCTGAACAGCTAAAACTGGGTCCGCATAAAGTCCCGACATGTCTGGAAGCATTGTCATCGCTTGTAGCGCGTAGTGAGATCCGGGAGGGCCTCGACTATTGTTGCCTTTGGAGTAGGCTTTGCCATATGCAAGCACGAGGAGGAAATGGGCGTACCATGTCCTCGAGCTGTTTGCCTTCTCGGCCGGTCTCTCGTAGAGGTCATAAACACCCTTGGTGAATTCGGGCTCGTCTATGAGGCCCAGATAGTTGTTCAGATAGAACTTGGCCGCACCAATAAGAAACAACGTGTGGTCTCGATGAGGCAAGTTGCTGATATCAACCTCCTCATTGGGTCCCAACGGCGTCCACTGCATGTTGTATGCGCCCTTGTCTTGCCTGTGCCACTGGTCTCCGTCGGCTTCGGGTATGCACTTGCCTAGCAGAGCCAAGACGCGTCTGCAGAATGACCATGATGAGATCGGGGCCATATACCCTAGGCGCAAATCAGTTATCTTTCACTCGAGGGCCCGGATTGGACCAGTGAGGCTTACAGCATCGTCCCGCTGCGGCCGCAAAGGCATAGTCTTCGCTTGCCAATGGATTCTGTCCAAATCCAGACTCTGAGTCTAGATTCCCAATAGCAGGAACCAAGGCCTCGCCCCGAGAGAGGCTTCTTCGAGGAGCAGTGCTAGATGGTGAACCCCTTCCGGTCACATCGCATTCCCGGCCCCGGGTATCGTTAGCGACAGATAAACTTAGTTGGGCTACAGATGGTATTGGGATGGTCTGTTGATATGATGCGTGATTGGCATTTTGGGCATCACGGAAGGCAGTTCCGTCATCGACGTCTCTGTCTGGGCCGGAAAGGGTGATGACACCGGTCCGGCCTTGTAACTCTTGGAGGTAACTGTGCCAGAATCAAGGTCAGCAAAAATCCGATAGACGACAAGGAGAATGTGAATGGAGAACCTCTCTGTAATGGTCACTCGTTTCTCCTCGACTGCGTAGTGACAAGACTCATTGCGACGTTCACAGCGGTTACATGGTTCCGTGCCGGAGCATCTCGCCTTCAACAAGCGACATCGATTGCAACTGGTTCTAATTAGCGATATGTACTGGGAAGATCAATATGCACAAAATACTCACGCCTTAGAAACCTTGTTTCTTCCCCCGCGGCGGGCACGGTTGATGACTGGCATGGCTCTGCGGATGATGCAAGACGAGGCGGAACAGGCTGGGGACTAATAATGGGAAACCCTCTAGGAAGGCGCTTCCGGCAGCTTATGAGGACAATCCTTGTCTATCTCACTATCAGTGTGGACCCGGACGTTTCACCGTCCAGAATCGTTGACGGCTTGGGACTAGGGACTTGGCTTATCATGCGGCCATATTGTGCGCCCGCACTTGGTGCAAATAGGAAAAGCCAAAGTCCGATCGTCGTCGGCTCACCAAACAGTCAGCGCCGAGTCCCGATGAGGAAACATTGACTTCTTGTGATAGCTAGAACAGGGCTGAGATCTAAGAAGTGCAAGTGATGGATGGCAACAAGATATGTTCTTCTTTGAAGATTTGCAAGAAACTGACATAATGAAGAAGACCTGGGGAGAAATTTCTACCTAACAAGTCCAAGCTTCGTCCTCGTGGAAACTGAATATCCAAATACATGAAGTGATAGATCTGCCCACATGGCCAAACGATACTCGAACTTATCAGATAAATAGCATATATGGATTTTCTCAATTATCACATCACAAAACTCGGCATGCATATGCTGTGTCTGCCCTCGCATGGGATTCGACGCCCTCTGACTTTACTGACTACTTGATGTCTAAAACAATGATACCCTATACGAGGACTATGACATCTCCATTCAGATCTTCGCATTCGGCCCTCAAGATTGTGTTCGCCTCGACACACTCGTCTTGCAACGGCTCGAGAAAGGTGGCCGAGCCAACGAAAGAATAACGTCTTCCCATCTCATTCTAATTCGATGGCTGCGGCCGCAGAAATATGGGCAAAGTTCACCCGTCAATCAATCACATTTCACCGTTAGCCAACGCCTCGTGGGCTTCATACGAGAGGTGATGGCGGCCTAGCCTTATATTTTAGGTCCCTAAAAGCCCAGCGCCGCCCTTGGTCACCCTGATCGCGTAATCAAGCTGGGCGATGTCACTACGTATGTCTTTCTTTGGCTTTACTTCCAGGGTACTTTCAAAGCAGAAATTATTTGAGTTGGGAAACGGCCTGATGAGATCTAGGAGGGTGGCAAGGAGTTGTTTTCCGACGCCAGCTTCCGGGTGCGGGAAGCCCCAGTAGCGCACGTTATCGTGACCTTATGGAAAGAGTAAAAGCGCGCCCAAGACATATGTAACTTGTAAGCAGTTCAAGATAGACCCCTATTTGTTGAGCAAGATATCCAACTGTCTCTCCCAGTAACCCATTGGTTGGCTAAGCGGCCCACGTTCAAGCAGACATGTAACAATGTCACACTCGCTCCTTGTTACCATCGAAGCCTTGCCTTTGACACTGGTAAGCCTCGATAGTGGTTCAAAGGTCGTGACTTGGTCACGGCGCCGCTAAGACTTTCTATTTGCACTGGGCGATGGAAGCCATGGTGATTTGCGACCGCAGAAAAATCAAGGCACTTATGGGTTCTGATTGTCGAACCACCTAGGCATAGGTGTCAAATACTGACTGTGAAGATATCTGGTTCGATGTCGCGTTCATCGTAGTCGGCAGCAAGACCGAGTAATCAAAAACCACGATCCTTCGGGTTGGCATATTAGAAAGCACCGGAATCCAAGGCCAGCTTGAGTAAGGCATGACGAGAATTTCCTTTCATACGGGACTGTTGAGTTTCAGGCTTGCTGGAGAGGCTTGGATACAAGTAACTTGGAAGAATTTCAAGAGAATGGACCCTTGAGTGACGACGATTCGGCCCATGATCGGCATGGCGAACAATACGTGACAACCGGAGTTTAGCTACGGGGTTAGATGAACGTTATTATTACGAAGCCAAGGTAAACGCTTAATGAAGGCACTAGGTAGGGATATAAAGAGTTTGAAATAATACAATTATTCTATGGAAGGAAGACTTCGTGACTCTTGATTTTGAAAGTTAGGCTCAATGACAGACCTCGACGAGGCTATTAAACATGTTCCGAAAATCTGTCTAGTTAATATGTGACCGCTCTTTCTCTCTCGCTAGCTCAAAGATCGAGCTGGTCGATGATATTCCAATAAAACACAGGAACAGGCAATACCTTTCTGACTTAGAAGAATGCCTTTTTTTTTGGGTTGATAGGCTTTCTAATTACTGGCACTGCGATTTTTGATGAGGCCATCACACTCATTTGAGAATCAATCAACGACACTCCGCTTAAGAATGCTTGAGTATCCTAAAAGGAGGATTAGATTGGGACTAGTATTAAAAAAGATCTTAACGCCCCCTTCGAGTTACAATAAAGTTGTTTTAGGCTTGATATCATGAAATGTGGTGATGTCTGTAGGGTAAGTAGTCAAGATGAGGTAATTTAAGTGTGGCGTTGACCGTTCTCAGCCTCCTGTGGCTACCCCACCCAACACTGTGCCACATCACATCTAGACCCTCCCCTGAATGAAGGCGCGACGCGACATGCGGCGGTCGTATTCCGGCGGCCCCGGTGAAGCGCGAGGTCCTTGTTGGCTACTAGCCGGATTTGATGGTGCTTACTTCATGCGCGATGCCACGCAGCCCCTGTGCGATCAGAAGCCGACGGAAAGCAAAGGCAGCAGCTGGACTCTGTGGAGAAACAAGAACCGCAGACCCAATAACGCAGCCAGCAAGCAAATATGGTGAGATGTAAATAGGTAAATCATGTGTCGTGGCGTGGGCCCACGAGCAAACATCCTAGACCAGTGGAGTCTGCTCCAGCCAATGGATCCAAGCAGGCCTCGTATTCCACCGCAAAAAATTCCAACGCCTCGTATCCAAGATGCAGATCATATCGGGCTCGCCTCTTTGCCAGATGGATGACTTACCACCGCCTCTCATGGCATCTCTCCATCCTCCCTCTTCCTCGACTCTTCATCAACCAATTCTCCTCGGGGAATTTCCTCCCTCCCCGTCCCAAGTGTGCTTGCTCTTTGCCAAATCGTGCCCCGTCGTGCTTCTTCCCCAGTCATTATTTCAGAGGACCCACTCCATCCCGCTCGATTACGTCGCTGCCGGCAAATTCTCCTTTGTCCCGGATCTACAGGAAGCCATGAGATCAGCTCTCTAGTCCTGTCGGGCTCGTTTAATCTTGGCCATCTTGTGATTCCCTCCGCCCATTTGCCATGTCGGCTTTACAGACAGAGGCTCCCCCCGCGGGCAGCCCAACCATCTCTAGCTATCGCGGCGTAACCGCTTCAAGACAGCAACAGTTTGCGTCTCCCAGTCCTAGGCACTCAAACCCGCCATGGCTGAGCGCTCTTTCATCCCCTTCGCCAAAATTCACTGCCGCATTTCGACCAGGATCTCCGTCAAGGCTTGATATCTCATCCTCTCAGCCAAACGTCCAGCCCCGAACACGTCCGACCGCAGACCGTACTCGAACCCAGAGTGCTATCTTCCCGTCTGCTTCGGGAAATCTCATGAGCAATGGGCCAAGACAGAGTTTGGCGACCACATTAGGAAGCAGGCCCCAGCGTCAGGCTCAGGACCGCCCCGTCAGTCTACACGCCACCCTGCCGTCAGCAACGGACCCATCAAGGATGAGCAAAAGGCCGCGAGAGCAACAGATACCAAGTCAAATACCCCAGATCGTGGTTCAGGCGACAGAGCAGGGCCACCACCAGCAAACATCGAGAACAGTCCCACAGCGAGTTCAAAGCCCAGAACGGCCACACCAGCAAACATCGAGAACAGTCCCACAACGAGTTCAAAGCCCAGAACGGCCACACCAGCAGCTTCCCCCAAAACAAGTTCCACAGCGTGTTGGGACGCCGAAGCGGTCTCAGCAACTCCCGGCGACGCAAAACCCAGAACGCTCTCAGCATCATCCCTCATCTAAGCAAACAGCGCAAAAAGCTCAGCCTCGAGAACAACCTCCAACAAGTCAAAGTCAACAACAAATAGTCCAAACCCCCGGGCTATCTCATCACCAGCAATTGCCTGGACGAACGACGCAAAGGCCCCGGGATCCAGAACCAGCTCAGCATCAACAATCACCCACCCAAATCGTCCAAAAAGACAAAAAGCAGAATCGATCTGCATTAGAAACAGATCAACAGCACGTACCAAGACCGATTCCACAGCCAGCGATTCAACCCCCAGAACATCTTCCAGTGGTGAGTAACCAGGAACAGCTCCGGCAATTACAAACCACCGTCATGGAGTTGGAGAGAGCCTTTCGGACTCCAGAACCAGCTCAGTACCAACAATCGCCTACATATATGAGCCAAAAGGATAAAACCGAGGATCGACCTGCACTGGAAGAGTATCACCAACAAGGTCCAAAACAGATTCCACAACGAGAGGCTCAACCCCCAGAACAGCCTCCGGTGATGAGTGACCACGAGCAGCTCCAGCAATTACAAATCACGGTCATGCAGTTGGAGAGGGCCTTTCATAACTTTGTCAATGCTTCCTCACCAAATCACTCCCACAAGGGTAGTTTGGACAGCATGATTTCTAACCAGAGCAGCCTCTCTAGACCCTCGGTAAGCTGCCTTGTAATGTCACCCACAGTTCTCTATGCTTGCTAACAGAATTTGGTACAGTCTGCCATCAGTCTAACATCGCCCAACCCCCCCGACATCAAAGATGCTTACTTACACAACCCCCCGAAGACTTACACCTCGTCTCCACTAGGAAGGCCAGCGACAACATCGAACCATTCAGCCAATAATAGTCGAACCAATTCTATCACATCTGACAGTCCCACCGCCGACATGGGTCCGAAGCAACTAGACGGCAGGGGTAAGAGTTCGAGGCTTCGAAAGGTTCTCTCAGCTGGCAGCATGGAGCTACTCGGGGGGCATCCTGATACAGCATGTGATGACCAGGCTGTGAAAGTCACAGGCCAGGGGGTTGCTCATGAACCGCGGAATGAAAATAAAACCCCAACGCACAATATTTCAGGGCATGGAATCTACGGTCGTAGGATCTTCAGCAAATCAGTGGATAACCTTGCCGCATCATCTATGGCAACACCAGCGTCGGCACCCTCCATGCTCCGTAAGGTGGGCAACGGCATGAAGAGAAAGTCTCGCACTCTCTCTGGACTTTTCCGCCCCAAGTCTGCCGTGGCCACTGGCTTCCCTAACACCGCTTTTGAGGTCGAATTGCCGCTTACCGATGGGCCACTCGAGTCTCAAGTGCCCGAGGAAACGCCCTCTCTCACTTCGAATACGGCTAAGGCGAAGACCAACTGGAGCCGTGAAGATTTCTATCAAGGCCTAGAGACACCAGAGCCTCCACCATTCAACATGAACAACAATTATGCATCTGTTCACATACAGGATGCTGGGACAATTCAAAAGCCTGAAATGGCTCCCAGGGGCATTCTCAAGAGTATGTTTGGACTTTAGCCTGCAGGCCTGTATTTGGCAGAAACAACTAACCATGAATAGAACAATCCCAATCCACTGCCTATCCGGTTGAGTTCCCGGATACACCAACTCAAGTAATATCTGAAATTACTTCCTCCCCGCTCTCGACAGTTCCTAACACTCCACAAACCGAGACCCAGTATGAGCACTGGGTTAACCCATTCGAAACGACGGACCTTGAAACATTAATGGATGCACTTGAACACGTATACGACTATGACGAGCCAGCTGAATCGGTCCAGGAAGCTAATAAACACCAACCTCCGTTTGCCCCACGCCCCATTTCCTATTATCTTTAGAGGAATCATCAGGACGACTCAAATTTCGCTCTACACCACGACATGTTCTTGATAACGCTGCCGGCCTAATCCTTAATCCCAATCGCTCCATCTTGCAACATTATCATACTTTTAATCTGCGGACTTTTAAGTTTATCTCTTAGTCCCTGTCTCTACCTAAGACGCCAACCGACCAACTAGGTCAGAATATATATGCTGAAGCCTGAACTAGACAGGTCTAGCCAAATATAATATATAGAAACGCTCGGAATGACTTAAGTGCCACTGACTTCGGGCCGTTACTTTAACTACTACGTGCCAACAGATGTGTCTTGATGAACCACAGTCGGTGAGAAACATGCTTATTGATATAGAGTGACGGATACAAGTACTTGCGCGGAGGGTGAGACTAACTACTATGCTTGCTAAGGTTGGGTAATTTGTGAACTTGAGGAGTTACATGTAGAGAGTCAAAGACTAGAGTGTCGTTTGCTGATATGCCAACAGACGAATTCCGTACCGGACACGTCAGCCAAATCGTGGATCTTACTGGACTTCTGAGACAGTGATCCCATCAGAGAAGAAATACCTTCAAACGGTTGATGCCAGTATGTTCTAAGAGCCGTAGTTTATGTTTCAATTCACCCCTTGGTGCTCACTTGTTCCAGAATGATCCAGTCTGTTCTGACTTTGTAGTTGATTACAGCGCAGTGCTGCTACTGCAAACAAGTAAGCCGTTGGACCTTGCAGTATATTTTTAATGTAAGCACTAACTTTGGTATAGGAAGTTTGAAATTGAAGATATGGCCACCCTGTTCGGCAGCTATTTCCAAATCCGAGAGGTTACAAGAATCTTGTTTTTTCAGGGGGTAGACCTAGACTGATTAGATGCTGATGCTATGCTCCAATTTCTCTTATACAAAACAACAGGGATTTTACTCCGATTTGGATAAAGGAGCTGAGACTTTTCCAATTATTCACTCTCTCAGGGAGCGAGATCCTGAATTGGAATACAAGATACTCCAGCGACTTCGGGCTGGAGATTTCTACGTCAAGTCGAAACAGAGTATCATTGAAAGGATGACAAAGAAGGGGAGCATTGCATACACCAGCAGGAACGTCGATGTGCTGTTGGCACCACAGTCCAGAGCTTAGCTGTTGTCGAGAAGAAGGCCAATGTTAACAATTGAATATTGAAAGAGTCTTGCTCTAGTTGTGGCCTTGGAAATACTATCTTCCCCGCAGCAAACCGTGAACGTATGCAATAGATAAAGATAAACTTAGATTGGCTTATGGTTTATGTATTTTATGAATGTACCAAGGAATAGGTTAGGGTTTGATGTTTCCCTCAATAGTAGATGCCGATGCTGCAAATTGATATCTTAGTCCTATGTTAGAATTAAAATCACTTAGCAACAAAGTAGATTTCGCAACTCATCCCCTTGACTCAATCTCTTTTCTCCATATAAGGGAGACATGCCTCATAAATCTCCTTAAACCCAGAGAACTTGTTAATCCTCTGAAACACAGCCTCATCTACGATCTTGGCTGACTGGAGACTTCCTGTGATAAAAAAGTCGGTATAACTTGGCTGAGCACCCAGTACAAACGGCCCTTCAGCCTTGTGCGTCAGCATCAACTCACCGACGGCACGCATATCATCCGCTATGGCATCCCAGGTCTGTTCCTCTTTTTCGGAGTCGGCGCATAGGTCCTCAAGCCGGCGTCCAATGAAGGCCTCGCGGGAGCGGCGGAAGTACTCTTTCGCCCACGGTGACAGGATATTTATTTCACGCGGCATTACTGAAGTGGCAAAGGCGGGAGCAATTGTACGGCGCGCTTTGGTTTCAATCTCGCGGCCCAGTTCAGACGTCAGTGGCACCGGCGGGCTTGGGTAGGTTGACTCGAGGAAGCTGGAAATGGCCGGTGAGTCCATGATGTATGTATTGGTAGACACATGGTAGATGGCCGGCACAGTGTATTTATGTTTAGACCCTGAAGCCTCGTCGTGGCAGGCGATACCGCTGGGAAGAATTAACTCGTTAGAGAAATTCTTTATGAACGCTTGATAGTTAAAGGCATGAAGACCTAAGAAAGAAAAGGAGAGCAGAAAGTGCAGAGAACTCACAGCTCTTTGAAAGTGGGCTCAATGTCTGGGAATTCGAGGAAGATCGTGCGATAGGGGATACGTTTATAGTTGAGCATTAAGCGGATGCGCCAGACGACTGGAGAGAAACACTCATTCTTAGTGCAGGCCAGGTCGTATAAGACAATCTCAGGCTCATTTCGATCAGTCATCTTGTGTCGATTGAACAGAGCTTCAACTGCGAATATAAGAAGGAACAATCTTTCCCTCGCCTGTCAAGAACCAACTTTATATTAAAGGCTGTACTAAAACCTGGCCGGTACTAATGTTTTTGTTTTTCGCATGCGTATTTCGCAATAGGCGGTCAAGGGATTATAAGGCAACCAGTTGCCTAACTTTAGGCTCGGATTTAGGAGTTAGTATTTCTAGGGAACTGCTGCCTAAGAATCACATGTAATAATAGCTACCATACTTACGACCTGAGTCTATCTATCCTGAACAAGGTAATTAGTATCTTCCGCTACCGAGTTATATCCCATAAGACCTATCTGAGAAAATAAAGGGTTTCTCGGCCTGGTCAACGACGCGAAGTGGCTTGCACCGTCGTGGCCGCCGTGACACCTGTTCTAACCGCGCCCACGCTTGTGCTTTACAGTTGGATGACGCTAGAATCCCCGTTATTCGACAGATCGACACAGCGGCCCGCATCGTCCTAAAAGCGATCCCACAGCCTAGACAGCTCTGTTTTCTTTGGAGACGTAGGTAGATAAATGCTGGCAGAGGAAAAATACGGCACCCAATTCCGTACATGAGCTTAGATGGTTTCATCGAGTGATAAGCAAAAAGGCTGAATGCCCTCGGATTCAATTATCAGCCAAGACGCGGTCCATAACTATGAGATGTGAGGGTTGATGCGCCTGGAAAGCCACGCAATACAGAGTGTCGTCAGGGAAAGCAGTCTACATTTATTGCGGGTTTCCTGTAGCTTAAACTGTTTTCTTTCATGTTTCTTCCAAGACTGTTTACACTCTGATCACATTCGTTGAGTACTAGGTCAAAGCTGTAAAGCTTTGCCATTTCTAATATGCAATAACGGTACTCAATCCTTATCCGCCCTTGAGCAGTTTCCAACTTAGATTTGTCTACTCATCGAAAATAGCCGCGACGATTTCTCCAGGGATGGTGATATCTGCCTTGAAACCCTTCAAATTCCCAGTCTTTGCATCGCGATCAATTAGGACGACACGCGCGTCTGACTGAAGCCCGACAGCAACCAGGGTACCAGCGTTATTGATCTCGAAATGTCGTGGGACTCGGCCTCCAGACGGAAAGACCTGCAACAAGTCCAGTGTACCGGCGTGAGAATTAATTCCAAAAGTCATGATCGAGTCGGATGCGATCTCGGTGCTGTTCGCGGGATCGAAGTTTGGCAGGGTAAAAGTCTTATCGCCGCGAGATGAAACAACGACAAAGCGGCCGTCGTCCTGCAAACTGTCAGCATCCTGCTTTTACAAGAGATCGATGATCTCAACTTACTGTCACTTGGACTTCTGATGCAGATGTTCCGCTGGGAGCTGAGTTGCCCTCCCCAAAAGTGGAAATGGACTGTAGAGGTTTCGCTTGTGGAGATTGGCCCTTTGGATAAGTCACTTCGTACGTTGCGATGGTGTTGGCGAGTTCACCCAAGACGTAAAGCAATGTCTTTTTAGCCTTGGTAACGTGGAAGGCAACATGTCTGGGCCCAGTACCTGGAGGCAGCGTCACAAGAGGGTCGAGGGACTTGAGAAGCAGTGATTTCGAATCGACGGCAAAGAGCCTCACGATATCAGCTCCTAAATCTGGAACAAGAACGTATCTTCCGGTCGGGTCCAACACTGTTTGGTGGGGGTGAGGGGCTTCTTGGTTGGGCAGCACGGGACCGGGCTTCTCGAGGGTATATGTCCACGCTTGTTGAAATTCCGGCGCTTTGGGATTGGAGACGTCGAATGTCTGGAAAGTCGAGGTCTGGTAGGCCGCAATGGCAAGGCCATTGGCATTTTTGCCATAGGTGACGGAGCTGACTGTGCCGGGAATGGTCGGAACTCTGCTTAGATGCACCAACCTTCCGTCCGACGATGTTTCGAAGGTGTTGAGCGTGCCATTGCCCGAGGTAAGGTCTCTATCTGTGCAATACAGCAGTTTTTTCCGTTGGTCAAGGGTCAGCCATGATGGAGTCAGCGCACACTCTGCCGCGGTAGAGGTGACTTTAAGCTGACCAGCATTATCGAGCTCAACAGTCGATATAGTTCCAGCATACGACGCAACGTAAAGCCGGGCCGGATTGGCGGCATAGGCCAAGGCAGTGAAACCGGCGGCAAGAAAACATCGACAGAGCATTTCCAAAGAATGAACCTGACGGGTAGGTCAACTGAGCTAAATGGATGTTGATTCTACTTCCCGCACCTCTCCTCGAACTGTCTTTATGGGCGCTGCCATTGACACTTTTCCTTGAGCTTCTCCGCATCGGCTACGGAAATGTATCCCTGTATGTATGCGGGGTTCCTGCATGCCGACCCCTGACCGCCGTACACATTTCTTCCACCTGTGAACAAGCACCATTTCGGAACGGTTGTTATGGGATAAGTCGTAGTCTCAAAGACCTGAAACTTGAGTGAACCCGCAAATGGATGAAATCAAATTAGCCTCTGGAGATAGAGTAGCTTCCGCTTGATGTCAATAGTTAGGGGATGTAACACTGCAGCCGATCAACTGACATAGCCGACGGCTACACAAACTCCCATTCGACTAAATGGGCAGATCGACACCCTCTTAGGCTTTGTTTGTTGTGGTTTTTCCTGGGAAGCGGGCATGTCGCTTCAAGAAGCGATCATAATCCTTTGCTTGAGTTGTCGTGGGCCCGCCTCTGGCGTATCGATGGACGGCAGAATTTCATTTC